TCTAGGACTCTGGAAGCCATGGGAAGGGTTGAGCATAAGATGGACATAATCAGCAGAAGAATCTAAACTTCCCAGAGGCAGTTCAAAGGAAGAACAGACCGCAGAGAGGTAATGAGGACCTGTAGCACTGTGGTACTTCTCTGTCATTTCCAATGAATAAGTTCAGCAATCAGCATTAATAACTGTAATTGACTCATCTGCAATTGTTTTCCAGATAATCTCCAATCCCCAAGCAGGCTGCCACTGTGACTTACAGGTGAAGAGATAATCTCCAATCCCCAAGCAGGCTGCCACTGTAACTTACAGGTGAAGAGATAATCATTTCCCAGCAAGGGGTGAGGTCACAGGATGCAAACATTTTATCCCAGAGCTCAGAAACCAGCGTTCCACAGATGGACTGCAGCCATCACCCTGGCAGCAGGTGTGAATTTGGTAAGTCACAACTATTCCCAGATCAATGTCCCATTCCTTGAAGGAACAGACGAGATCTCAGGGTATTCAGTGAGAGGTGCTTTATGGAAAAACCAGTCTGCCATCTGGGGTTGGAACACCAATGTGGACAAAGAGAGACAGGGATATTCTGAGGGACCCCAAGGCACGGACGCCTTGCCCCAGGCCTGCCTTGACCCTCTCCTCCAAGTTTACTCTTTAACCTCTCTGGGCTATTCCCCTTCTCACAGATTATCCAACACATCAAGCCTCACAGCATCTACTCTAAGACCCTCTTACAAATGAAGTGAGAAGCAGGAAGACTATTCTACTCACAGATTTTGAGTTTGTGTTTAGCGGCTTTTATGAACGTTGGATAAGCACTTGGGGTCATTTTTAGCACGATTTCCAAACGCAATCTGTCCTATTTTTACTAACACAGCCCTGATGTGTAAAAAAAAAAAAAAAAAAAAAACCACACTTGAGAAACCTGTGATGGGGCCAGCGTTACTAGTAGTTGTTATTACTTGGACACTGGCATCCCACATCACAGTCCCGGGATTTGAGTCCCAGCTTTGCTTCTGATCCAGCAGATGATGGCTCCAGTACTTGAGAAAGACACCCACAAGGGAGACCCAGATGGAGCTCCTGGCTGCAGCCTGACCCAGCTCTAGCTGTTGCGGGCATTTAGGCAGGGAATGAGCAGACAGAAGAAATGGAAGATTCTCTCTCTCTCACTCTCGCTCTCTCTCTCCCCTCCCTCCCCCTCTTTATTCCAAATAAACGTCTTGAATGAAAAAAAGAAACACTAGAGTAAAAGTCTATAAATTATAAATAGCAAAAGAATCAGGGATCCTGAATCCCTAAGGCTACTCCACATGAAAGCACACTCTCTATGTATATAGCATCTTCATCATCATCAGTATTTCTCTCTTAGAAGGACCTCAGATTATTGTGACCCAGATAGGTTTCTAGGGTGTCACCTCAAGGTCATAAAGCACCTTGTTTTAACAAACCATAGGACACACACATTCCCTGATGGATATTTCCCCACCTCTTTCAGAGTGAAATTTTCCTAATAACATCCTAATTGTTCTCCCACAAAACCCAAACTGCAGTTTGCAAAGGACAAAGTGGCCAGTAATGAGAGCTATTTTAAGATCTGCAGGTCTTGTTGCTGTCTCTCAAATTACTAGTACTTTGTTAATTCCTAAACAAAGTAAATGGCCCTGACAGTACAGGACTTACATTTCAAAATGTTCACACAAAAGATTTCCATTTCACAATTCTCTTATTATGCTTCATTCTCTCTAGTCCTGATTGAATCACTTTCTTAAAAATCTCCTGTTTCAAAAGGTTGGTCAGTATTTTATTACTTATCATAATGTGATTTGTATGGGAACTGAAATGTTATGGAAAATTGCTTTTTATGCACTTTTCAGCTATTTTGTGATTACTTCCATTTTGTTGACATCTTCATTGTGGTCTTTCTCCTATTTTAATTTACAAAGGTTCAAAAATGTATTCTTGGGCTTTAAATTTTGGCCTTGACTGACTTACACACCTCAGGTTATTCAAAAAGAAAATAAACCTTTGAAAAATCAAGGATACTTATATTCATGTGCAGCACTGATTAAATGATTTATCAATTTGGCATGAAGTATGAATCATGATTTTTAAACCCCAACTGTGATCCATTTAATATTTTAATGCCTTATCTACTTCCTCTCCAAACTGATAATCAAGTTTAACAGATAAATATGCACTCTTACAAATTTATTTCATATGCATAAAAAGTCAGTAGGTATGTTTCCAGGTTCTCTACTGCTTATTATTAACACAATTATTATTTTGTCTACTACAATGAGTCAGATATATATGTAAGTTCTTCTCATTACTGGGAAGTTTACACATATTTTTGTCGCCTTTTTAAAAATATATCTTATAAGTTCAAAAACATTAGCATTTTGTGGGAAAAACAAAATAAGCTGTCCTTTTGAACTATTTTTATTTATAATATTGAGTCTGTTTTTAAAAACACAGTTTATATTTATTTAGACATGATTTTTATCATTTCTAGTAAGTTTATTTCTTTCAAAGCTTCTGTCACATTTTAAGATTTTTTTTTTCAAAATATTTTATTTTGGTACAATGCTAAGTTTTAAATAAGAGTTATTATAAGATAACTATCCATTTTTAAATTTTATGACAATTATATATATTTAGTTAATTATAATATTTAATAAAATTCATAGTTCTCAGCCATATAAGTGCAAACTTTTAATACCACTATATATGTCTCCATTTATCCTAAACATCATTTATATAATACATATATAGATTCCTAGTCTTACAACATTGAATATACAGGATGTCAGCTTACCCACAAGTCATTCAAACACATCTGAAAAGTATAGTCTCTTTTGTTGTAAAAACCATTATAGCATTTTCACAGTAACAAAAAATAGCAGCAAATCAAATACATAGTCAGAATTCAACTTTCCCACTTTTAAAAAAAATTCACTTTTTTAATAACTTATTTATTTATTTGAAAGTCAGAGAGACAGAGAGGACAGAGACTTTCCATTTGCTGGTTCACTCCTATGGCCACAACATCTGGAACTGGGCCAGGCCAAAGCCAGGAGCCTGAAACTCCACCTTACATATTTTAGATATCTTTTATTTCAAAGGTTTACCCTACTTTCCTGCATTGTTTTTGCCATCTGCATGATGGTATAACTGAGTTATCTGTCTGATATAATTTCCCACCTGCTCCAATATTACTCTTTCTTTGCTGTCCTTAAATACGTTCTCCCTTACTTGCAACAAACATAACTTCGAGCCAGAATCATCAATCAAATCCAGACTCATTCTTTGTTCACAAGGCCCCACATGCAGGGATGAGACTTCTGGTGCATCCCATACAGACACTCTGATTCTAGCTGTCTCCTCTTGGTGGTGTTAAGCTTGACAGTGGGCCCAAGTCATTATTTTTCATCCACTATTATTTTTCCCACTATCCTTTTATCTACTGTGCCAGTGGTTATTGGTGGAAATCATTTGGTGAAAGTCACTGGATGACAATTATTGATGGAAGCCATTATCTATGAGCTACTGATGTTGGTATCTACTGAATTCTATCTGAACTGTTGCATTTCTTACTGAAATTGTTTATACAGAAGTTTTCCTTATCTCTATTTGTTTGCCCTAACATGCAGTTTGTATACCAAAGGAGAAAGGTACTTGACACCTTCAGTCTCTTTAGCAATTTTTGAAGTAATGAATTGCATTACTAATTCCCCCCCCCCAAATTTTCTGGTTCATTTTAATGTCAACAGCTATATACAGATTTCAGAATTCATTTGATGAGATTCAGTTCTCCGAAATTACTGTTTATTGGTGATCTCTCTGCATCGTCATTTTTTAAGTTGGAGCCAATCCAATCTGGATCTTTCAGTCCCTAAACTTACCCTAGAAGCCTCTGACACCTTACCTGCATTCTTGTGTAATAACAATATATTACAGAGCCATCCCAAAATTTTCCTGATCTAAACAAAAAGTCATTGATTTAAAAAGCCCTTTTGGATATCTGATGAGAAACTGTATTTAGGAACCAAAATCTGTGCCCAAAGGGTATACAATGCTACTGAGGTAGTAATAGAATATGGTGACTTGATTTAGAAAATATCAGTATTTTATATTACATATATATCATGAATGAATATTGATTATTCCAAATAAGTTCAGGACTATAAGGTTTTTAATGATCTGATGTTTACATTTGCATTTTTTCTATTCTGTTGAAAACTTTGGTTGTTTCAAAAGAGTGGTACCTATATATTTACAAATAATATGAAAACAGTCTGCATATTTAAATATTTTATTTATAAGTTATACTTCACTAATGATAGAGTGAAAATTGTGTTTTAAAGTAAATAGATTTCTCTTGATGTAGAAATGCCCAATTACTTGCCATGCTCTCAGAATCTCTTTTAAATATTGCCTTGGTTTAATATTTTAAAATATTTTATTCAATACTGTCTTATAGTTACATAAGACATTTACATTTGTTGAAATATTAAAATAGCAGCATGGGATTAATTCATGCAGTGCAGTTTCTATCCTGCTCCTCCCTTTCTTGCTGCTGTGAGCTGCTATTGGGAAATACATTAATAACTTCTTGTATGACCCCCCTTTGTGCATAAACAAGTACATAAACACATTTAAAGTTCTATAATTTTAGGGAAGGGAATGTAGCTTTTTCCAATTTTTTTACATCTTTGTTTTTAACTTATGAACAAATTCTGAAAACAACTGTCTATCAGAATAAGAACTTTGCACATTACATGGATGTGTCTCTGTTAGCTGACTAACAGAGACAATGAGATTGCCTATAACACAGCACTTCACTAATTAATCCTTCACCCATTTGCACAAATATCCACTGAGGGTGGGAAACCATCTGTCCTTTAGCCACATAGTTACCAGGCATGATCGTGGTACTGCTTTTTCCTTCCTCTGCCCACCTCTCTGACAGCTGCTAAAATCAGCATCACCCAGAAACTGAAGTGATGAGTTCAGCTCACTTGGGAATGGCGAGCATCCTCCTCACTCAGACAGGAGCTGGAATCTTGGGAAACTCTGCTCTGCTTTGTCTCTATAACTTCGTTCTGTTCACTCGACATCAGGTGAGAGCCACAGACTTGATTCTCAACCAGCTGGTCTTAGCCAACTCCACGGTGCTTTTCTCCAGAGGGATCATGCAGACAATGGCAGCTTTCGGATGGAAGTATTTCCTGGATGATGCTGGATGTAAAGTTGTCTTCTACCTACACAGGGTGGGCAGAGGGGTTTCCCTCAGCACCACCTGCCTCCTGAGTGTCTTCCAGGCCACTAAACTTTGCTCCAGTTACTCTCAGCTGCACATCACAACAAGATCCCCGAAGTCCATTTGTTTCTGCTGTAGCCTCCTCTGGATCCTGCATCTCTTGCTAAATACAATCGTTCCTTTGAAGATGACTCAGTCGCTAAATAGCAAAAACATGAGTGTGATGAGACAAAACTTTGGCTACTGCTCTGCCCACATTCTAAGCTCATTTTTAAGTAGACTGCACGGAGTCATGTTCTTGTCCTTTGATACACTAAATCTGAGCCTCATGGTCTGGGCCAGTGGCTCCATGGCCCTCGTCCTGCACAGGCACAAGCGGCGCGTGCAGCACCTGCACAGCAGCTGCCTCTCTCCCAGGCCCCGCCGTGAGGCCAGGGCCACACGCACCATCCTCACCCTGGTGAGCTCTTTTATCTTGTTCTACTCTCTCTCTTCCATTTTGACTTTTTGCTTCTCCTTTGTAAATCCAGGCCAGTGGCTTGTGCCCACCTCCGTGCTTGTGAGTTCATCTTTCCCAACCTTCAGCTCCTTTGTGCTTCTCGCCACTGACTCCCGAATCTCCCAGTTCTGCTCTCCCTGCTGGGAAAGGAAAATGCTAAATTTTTGCTAACTTGCTTATGCATCTAGACGCCTATTCTCTCCAGGGACATCAATTGCACGCTCCTAAGTTCTGGGTGACTACTAAGTGCCAGGCATTCTGTTGGGAGTTTCGATACCGTATCTAAAGATCCATATCACTGCCCTCCTTGGCCTCAAGTCTGAACCTATCACATGAGCACAGAACTAAGACTGTTTCATCTAAATTGGTTCTGTTCTTCGATGGATCTCATATAGCACAAGAAAGCCATGTTTGAGGATATGGAAGGAAAAAAAATCACTTTATTGTTGGCTTCCTGAAGATGGAGCAAACCCCTGCCGTGCAGATTCACTGGGGCTCAGCCTGCCCTGCAGGGCCCAGGGCTCTCCCACTCCCGCAGGGCGGGCAGCTGATCCCATGTGTGCTTCGGCAAGGGTGAGCCGTCGGTGGCTCCCAGCAGGCTGCAGCGCCTCCTTCAGGGGAGCTGGACTGCCTCCCTGTGAGTAGCTGTCCCTGGCACCCTAGGAGGATTTGTCACATCCGAGACCACACTCAGCAAGCTCTGCACCACAGCACTGCAGTGACTTCTCGGCCATTTAATGAGCCACAGCTTGTCTCTTCTCCACAGCTGACCGACCTCAGGTGGTGAACTGGGGGCTTTTCTGTGGGTTGGCTATCTCAGTTCTGGTTTAGAGCCTATGTTATGTTATGTTAAACTACACCGAAGCACACCATACCATCTTGTATTACAGTTATGCTGCACAATATACTCATTAGATTGCGCAGTAATGTATATCCTATCCACTAACACGCTACGTTGTATCTGCGATTCCCATATTCTTTATGCTTCCTGACCACATCTGTATCATCTGAGCACTGATTCCGTGTACACAGGTTCAGGCTCATAGTCTGCAAAGTGAACACTGTCGTTCAGTGGTTCTTAACTTGGGGGATGTGTGTGCATGACATGTGGCTTAGGCTCACTGAAGTAGGAGAGCCTTGACATTATGTATAGAAACTTTTCATAAAAATTCATTAATAGATGTGTATCTTTTGAAAGCTATGTAGTTCATATCATTTATAGTCAGCATGCTTATTTTACCTACTTAACATCTTCCTTTAGGATGTGTTAACATTTACAGGGGTTGGGGTGGAAGTTTATCCTGGCAATGAACACTATTTGGAATGCCCACATTCCATTCCATAGCGGAGTACCTGGGCTGTCCTGGCTCTGCTCCCAATTCTGTCTTCCAGCTGGAGCACCCTGTGGGAGGCAGCAGGCGATGACTCCAGTGGTTGGGTCCCTGCTACCCACGAGGAAGACCTGATGGCATTACTGACCTCAGCCCAGTCCGTCACTGCCGGGGTGAGTGTGAACAGCACATGGCAGTGCTTGCTCTCTGGCTGCCGGGCTGGTCATCAAATACGTAAATGCACACTTGGACCTGACTTCTTAAATCAGAGATCTTTCTTAAATCTTTAAAATAGTCTGATGATTTTACAAGTATGCTATTTTTACTAGTAGCTATTTTTATTTCTTCCTTATTTTGTGCTTGTATATAATTTATTGTTTGTCAGACAACAAACCTGTTTCCACATCAAAATGTGCACCTCTATGTTCCTATGTATGTCCACTTAACTTGAATTGCATATTTATACATACCCAAGTAACTAGGTTCTTCCAGATTTTCAAACTTTGATATGTATATAGAAAAATGCACAAAATCTAGGTGTGCAGATTAAAATTTTAATGGAGTATTTCTAGTATTTCAGATGCCTATTTTTTCCTTCAAATACAATTATCCCAGCTCCAAAAGAATTTTTCTTATATTTATGTATATGTGGAGAATACTGAGTAACACAGTTTAGCTTTCACTGTTTTCAATTTTTATATAACTGACAAGTTACTGCTACATTTGCAAATACATAATTGTGATTGCTCCAATTTTTTATGTACATCAGATTCACCATTTTCACTTTTATATTATATTTCATATGATTTGGGATAAGATGTACATTTGCCCTTTGAAGGCTCTTTTTGCTTCTCAATATTTTTGGCAATGATAAACATGGATGCTACAGACGTATCTCCCACATTTTTGGTGTTTATAAACACCCATTTGTTTTGAATATAGGAACTTTTCCCCAAAAAGCAAACAAAAATTTAAATTCACTACACACCAATTTCTTCACCTATATAACTCATAAGCAATTTACAATATTTACTAATCTTCACAATCAAAAGACTTTTTAGTCTGCATTTCTCCAATTACCAATAAACTCTTTTTAACATTTTGTTGTTTCTTAGCTTTCTGAATTCTTTTCATTAGTGTTATTAGGTTGTAGGACTTATTTATTAAATGTATCACTTATTTTTTTAATTAAAAAAGTATTCATATATAACATATACAACTACAGGTTGAGCCAGCACATGCAACCAAGCATCCATATTGGAACCCCAGTTCAAGTCTCAGCTACTCTGCTTCCTATTAGTGCACCTGGGAAGGCAGCAGATGACAGCCCAAGCCCTTGTGGGAAACCCAGATGGAGTTTCTGGATCCTGGCTTTGACCTTTTGGAGAGTGAGCCAACAGATGGAAGATCTCTGTCTCTCATACTCCCGCCCTTTCAAATAACTTTTTTAAAAACCTACAAAAATAGTGAATTAAATTCCTTCTCATAAGCAGGCTTGATGTTAAAGAGATATAACTCAACAGACACAATTGGTATAGTTTTTAAATGCTATAAAACTATATAGGAAAGTTAAATTTGAGCTTTATATTTTGATCTAACTTCTGCTGTAACTCAAAACAGCTTTACCCCCTTTGCCACAATACTGGCCAAGAATGAGAATTTTTAAATATTTCAATTAACAGTGTGAATACAAAATACTTACTGGGTTATGTAATATTCCTTAATCACTTAAAATTTTGATTTTAATGAACTGAATGCTTTAAGAAACTAAAATTCAACAACTTCCCTGTTCACTTAAGTGAAAATTCATTGAAAAAAAAAAGAACACTTTCATGATTTTCCAAGTATTCTCTTGTTGTTTGCATTATATTAAATAATTTTATTTTTAAAATGCAAAATTTGCATTAAAATTTTTTGAAAAAAAAAATTCTTAGTGAACAGAACTTAACTACAGAAATTAAAGAACCACTGGCAATAACATACCCAATAGTATCTGTCATTCTGTATTTCAGAATCATAAATTAAAGCAAATCTAGAGAGAAGTATTAGTGCATTGGTTGAGGTAAGTAGAGATTAGTAAGTTATTTTAGAATAAGTGACACAAAGGAGAAACTATGCTACAACATCAAATTTAACATGAACTAAGTAAACATTAACAAAAAATTGAGCAAAACTAGAAATTACTAGCACAATAAAAGTAACAAGAAATTTGAATGTTGATGCATACTAGTAGAAAAACTGCAAAAATGGAAATACTTTGAGAATTTCTGTCTTCAAAATAGCAAGATATCATCCGACTGTGTACATTCATGTATTTGTTTTAACAAACCATTTTATGATTCCTAGATAACACACTAGAAATCTTTATTAATTCAAAATCGTTGGAGCCAGGGTAAAGCCACCACCTGTGATGCTAGCAACGCATATGGGCGCCAGTTCGAGTCCTGGCTACTCCACTTCCAATCCAGCTGTTAATGGCATGAGAAAAGCAACGAAAGGCGGCCCAAGTTTTTGGACCCCTGCCACCCATGTGGGAGACCCAGATGAAGCTCCTGGCTCTTGGCTTCAGCCTGCTTTGGCCCTGGCTGTGGAGGGCATCTGGGGTGTGAACCAATGGATCAGAAGATAAATCTCTTTGTCTCTCTCTCCCTCTCTCTGTAACTCTTTCAAATAAGTAAATGAATCTTTGGGGGGGGGGGGGAGGATCAAGATTTTTCCTCAGAGAAAGCAGTGAAATACTGCTGATTGATCGTGATTATTTATATACAAGATATGCTATCACTCAAGAACACATTAGGAAATGACATCTCTGTCATCTCTAACAGTCTTTTACTCACTATTCTGAAACCTCTTTCCCTTCATAAAATGGGTCAGGGAGTTTTAACTCTTGATCCTTCAAAGACGTGTTATTCCTGCAGATTCCATTTACAAATCAAGCTCCCAAGAGGACAAAAATTCATGTCCAGTAATTGCTACAAAGACAACTGGAGAAAAGTAAGCAGTTCTCTTGCTCTTTCCTTCTCAGGTGAAGCTCTTACAATGAACAATCTCTGAGGACTGGTGCTTTAGGTCCGAGGTGTCAGGAAGAACAGGGCAAAGAGGAAACATGCAGGATTCTAGGCAACCCTATGGCAAGCAGCCACGCTGGCACCTTTCCTCTTGGTCCCTCAGCATTTGTGACTCAACAGCAGGAAGCAGAACTGCTGGGGCTGGAGTTTTGGAGTAGTGGTAAAGCCGCCACCTGCCAACTCCAGCATCCCATGAGAGTGCAGGCTCATGTCCCAGGTACTCCTCTTCCAACCCAACTCCCTGCTAACAGCCTGGGAAGCAGAAAGAAGACCGCCCCTGCACCCACATGGGACACCTGGTAGAAGCTCCTGGCTCCTGGTTTCAGCCTGGCCCAGCTCTGGCCATTGCAAGCTTCTGGGGAGTGAACCAGCAAATGGAAGCTTCCTCCCTACCCTCTGTCCCCACCCCCCACCCCATAACTCTTACTTCACCGAAATAAAAACTTAAAAAAAAAAAAAGCAGAACTGTTTTTCCATATACATTTCTTATTGAGATCTGCCATTTCTCCTAACATCATGATCTTTATGGGGAAAGTGGCGTCTTGCTAAATTCACATGTGCTTCCAGGATGGCATCTGTAATGTCGGCACTCCTACAGGTGTGGACAGTGGGCCCATGCACCTTCAGAGAGTCTGGATCCCATCTCACCCCCTTGCTGCACCGGGATTTTCATTCCGCCTCTAAGTACACTGACAGTCTGTGAAAGCGAGGCTGTCTCTGGAAAACAACTGTGGAGGAGCAAATTAATTCATTAAGGTCGACTAGTACAATTCTCCATTGAGGATATAAATAGCTAGAAAGTCATCTGTGAAGCCTTAGAATACACATGAGGGAAAAAGAATATGCACAGGAGTCAACGGTAGGATCCTGGACACTGAGCACGAACTTGTGAGGTGAGTACAGCCCCGGCAGCCGGGAAACGTGGCTAACATGAAATTCCTATTTCCACAAAATGTGTATCCTTCCCACTCATGAGAACTCTGAGGAAAAACAGATGCGGAGAAAGGAAAGAGCAGGAAGATGCAGAAGAGTAAAGGAAAAGCCGTCTTATCATCCTGCTTCTCTGCCCTGGAATCACATGAACTGTCGTCTTGGGATACTTATTCTTCGACACAAAATGGATGCCCAGATCGTACCTTATGGTACTTAAAAATAATTATTCCGTAGAGCAAAGATGTCACTGAAGAATGAATGAGGTTCAGCATAAGTCTTTGCTGTTGCACTATTTTCATCTTTCTTCAGGAAAAGAAAAAAAAATAAAATTCATTTTTAAAAAATCAGTGAAAAAAATAGGTATGAACTGACAAGTAAACAATGAAAACATATCCACTTATTGAAAGGTTAAAAATTCTTAAAAATCAGCCATATTCTTTACTGATAAGGATGTGAAAGAACTGGAACTCACATCCTGCTGTTATAATTAGAAAAGGAAACATTTAAGTTTGAGGTCAAACTGGCCTTCCTTAAGATGTTATCTATTCATCCATACTGAGAAATTTAACACACGAGAAATGAAACACATCTCTATGAAAAGTTGTATTTAAATGTCTGCAGTATCTTGGGGCTGGCACTGTGGCATAGCAGGTAAAACTCCCGCCTGCAGTGACAGCACCCCATAGAGGCACTGGTTCGAATCCCAGCTGCTCCACTTCTGATCCAGCTCTCTGCTTGTGGCTTGGGAAAGCAGCAGAAGATGGCCCAAGTCCTTGGGCCCCTGCACTCAGATGGAAGACCTGGAAGAAGCTCCTGACTCCTGGCTTCAGATCAGCCAAGCTCCGGCCATTGCAGCCATTTGGGAAGTGAACCAGCAGATGGAAGATCTCTCTCTCTCTCTCTCTCTCTCTCTGCCTCTCTGTAACCCTGCCTTTCAAATTAAAATAAATCTTTAAATGTTGGCAGTATTTTATTTGTAACACGCAAAATAAGGAAACTCAATGCCCATAAACACATAAATAGAGAAATTATGGTGTATCTTCAGCATGTTAGTTCTCAGTAACATAAAAAGACTGAACTTCTTATATATTACCATTGAGGAACTTCAATATGCCAGAGAACAGAACTCAAGCTTAAGAAATGTACATTTAAGAATTAAACATTTTCATTTCAATCACATAAAATCTTGGAAAGTAAAAATTACTGTATTATAAAACAAAGTAAATCAATGGTTGCCTGGAAAGTAGAAAGATATTAAAGGGCACCAGGTAATACCAATGTTGGGTAGGTTCATGATTATGATTGTTTCATGAGTACATATGGCTATCAAAACTTATTAAATGGTACAACTTATTTTTTAAAGATTTATTTATTTATTTGAAAGTCAGAGTTATAGAGAAAAGAGGCAGAGACAAAGAGGTCTTTCATCCGCTTATTCACTCCCCAATTGGCCACAATGGCCAGAGTTGCACCTATCCGAAGCCAGGAGCCAGAAGCTTCTTCCAGGTCTCCCACATGGGTGCAGCGGCCCAAGGACTTGGGCCATCTTCTACAGCTTTCTCAGGCCTTAGCAGAGAGCTGGATCAGAAGTGGAGCAGCTGGGACTTGAACTGGCACTGATATGGGATGCCGGCACTGTAGGCGGTGGTTTAACCTGCTACACCGCAGCGTTGGCCCCAAATTATACAATTTAAATATGTGCAGTTTATGGAATGTCATTTATACCTTGCAAAAGCCTTTTTTTTAAAGTTCAAAATAAAATCTGAATTTCCTATTATTTTTGGTAAATAAATTTGGCAACCTATATAGATGCTACAAACTCTCTCCTCATGCCCTGGGTGGGACAACCAGCCTTGGCATAGCAAATATGAGTGAACAAGGCCATTTCCACCTGATCCAATAGGAAGACTGGCTGGTCAGAAAAGCCTCATCGCTAACTAAACTAAGGGGCCTCTTGTACCCTCTTCCTCCTGCTTACGCAGGAATGGCACTGATGTGAACAGTGTACAACACTGCAGGAGTCCACTAAACCTTTACTTCATATTCTCTGACAAGGACCTCAGCTACCCCAAACCCTAAAGTCCTGAGAATTTCTGTGCCACCTCATCCACCACAAGCTGTGACTCAGTCATCGCACTGCCCTGTTAAAACAGCCCACTCCAACCACTTTCCTGCAGTTCCCCTCACTCCCTATAAACGTGTCACTATTTCCCACCCCCATAAACCTGTAACTTGTGATGCTACTCTACTAAATTCAGGACATTGGGGTACAAGAAACCATTGTTGAACCTGGGGAACTGATTCTGCTCACCGGTGCTAAGCACAACGCAACATTTCTTGTGAACAAGAGAACAATTCTGTGTTATTCTCAGAAGTACAAGAGGTTGTCACGAATATGGCCCTTTCCTCAGGCTGACCTATGAATTCACACATTAATGCAGCATCCATGCAACAAGTCAGAACCACAGGGGTACCACAGCATGATGGATCAAGCTGCCACTCAGATACCGCATTCCATATCACACTGCCTGGGATCAAGTCCCACCCTCAGCTTCCAACCCAGCTTTGGGCCGATGTGCACCCTAGGAAGCAGCAGGTGATGGCTCAGTTCTTGGGTCCCTGCCATCCACACAGAAGACCCAGATAAAATTCCTGTCTGCTGACTTCAGCCTGGCACTGGCTGTTGCAGTCATCTGGGGGATAAACCAACAGATGGAAGATCTCTCTCCCTCTCTCTGCCTTTCAAATAAAAATTAATAAAATTTTTTAAAAAAGAACTACAAAGCTCTAAAGTCTTCCTTTGGAGGTCTTGGGCAGAAATATAAAGTAGGACAAAACCAAGAGACAGTTATATTCTGCAAGAAACAGAAAGTACGTCAAAACTGGGGTCAAGTTACATTCTGCCATCACACTGTCCCCTCTGAGGCACACAAAGTTCAGTAATCCCAACCAATCCCAGCCTGTTTGTACATGGTAGAATTCTGTTGTTTACAAACCACCACAGATGGCAAATACAGGTCCTAAGGTGAAGGCAGCTTAAACAATCAGGCCTTCATTTCAGCGTAAGCCAAAACGACAGGGAGTGAAGAGGAACAGGATGTTCTGGGACTTGTGATCTGGAAACTGGAAATACAACTTCAACAGTCTTAACAGACCCACAAAGCCCCTGAAAAAAATAATTCTATCTTTTCATGTCACCAGTAGAGTCCTCTGGGTCAAAAGACTGCATCAGAGGGGCTGCATTGTGGCACAACAGGTTAAGACAATGCTCGCTTGCATTGATGGTATCCCTTATCAGAGCACAGATTGGAGTCCTAGTTACTCCATTTTCAATCCTGCTCCCTGTTAATGTTCCTGGGAAAGCAGCAAAAAATGGCATAAGTATGTAGGCCCTGGCCACTCACATGCGAGACCTCAGAGTTCTGGGCTCTTGACCTCAGCCTGGCTCAGCCCTGGCCACTGCAGTCATCTGGGGAGTAAATTGGTGGATCTAAGATATCTTTGCATTTCACCTCTGTCACCCAGTCTTTGAAATAAATAAACTTTTAAAATAAACTCCATCGAGCCTATAGTGTAACTCATCAAAGGGTAAGAAATGAGAAAGGAGTAAATGCTGAAGCTAACCACAAATTCCTGCAGCAAATGGGAGACCATCAAGGCTTCCTTCCTAAACATGACGGGGTGAGAACATGATGCACGCTGAGGACCTCCCAAGTGGCAGAGGTGACATGCTTTTTCTCAGAGGGCTAAGTCAGTCAAGGATCCAAGGTAAACTGAAAAATACCTTGCAGCTCTCACGTATCCGAGATTTAAACAGTTCTTTTTAAAGATTTATTTGAAAGGCAGCGTTACAGAAAAGGAGAGATGGAGAGACAAAGAAATCTTCCATACACTGATTTACTCCTCAAATGGCTGCAATGAACAGAGCAGCAGGGCCACGCCAAAGCCAGCAGCCGCGAACTTCATCTGAGTCTCCCATGTGGGTGGCAGGGGCCCAAATACTTGGGTCATCTTCCCCTGCTTTCCCAGGACATTAGCAGGGAGCTGGACAGTAAACACAGTAACCAGGACTCACACTAGGACGTCAGTGTCATGGGCAGCAGCTTAACGCAGATTTTTTTTGATGTATGAGGTTCAATTCAGTTGTTTTATATATATATATATATACACACACACACACACACACACATACATACATATCTCCTCCAGTGTTACACTGAAGAAATAACACACCCTGCACAGCTACAGTATTTTTCTCATTGGGATAGTCCTAATATCCAAAGAGGTCAGTCTGACAGTTTCCTCACACTACATTCAAAAGGCACTTCACCAGGGGCTCTCTGGTGGGAACTGAAGCTAGTTTTAGCTGCAGAACTTCCCACATCTGCCACACTCCTAAGTGTGAACTCAGACCTTGAAAAAGCACAGAATTTTGACTAAAAAAATTTCTCAAATTTGTTTCAATTATGAAACTTTCTCCAGCATGAACTCTAGAATATCAAAAAAACTAAGAGCTTCGTGAAAAGATTTTCCGTATTCAGAGCATGCATAACACTTTTCTCCAGTGTGAGTCCCATGTAGAATGAGGTTAGTTTTCAGTAAAGCATTCTCAGTGTTCACTACACTAATGCTTTTGTCCAATGTGAAGTCTCCGGTGTTGGAGGAGTGAAGAGCTTTGACGAAATGATTTCCCACATTCATTGCATTGATATGGCCTTTCTCCTGTGTGAATTCTCTGGTGTTCAATGAGGTTGTACTTGTAGCTAAATAGTTTTCCACATTCCCTGCATTCATATGAATTTTGTCCAGTGTGAATCTGCTGATGTCGAATGAGGTTGTACTGTTTGCTAAAGGATTTCCCGCATTCTCCACATACATAAGGCCTTTCTCCAGTGTGAAATCTCTGGTGTACAACCAAGTGAGACTTGTGCCTAAATAACTTTCCACATTCTACACATTCATAAGGCCTCTCTCCAGTGTGAACTCTCCTATGTTTAATGAGGCTGGAGTTTTCTGCAAAGGATTTTCCACACTCACTGCACTCATACAGCCTTTCTCCAGTATGGATTCTTCTGTGTTTAATGAGGCTGGAGTTTTCCGCAAAACACTTCCCACAGTCAGTACACTCGTAAGGTTTTTGTCCCGAGTGGAGTCTCTTATGTTGACAGAGTGTAGAGCGCTGGCGAAATGACTTCCCACACTCACTGCATTCATATGGCCTTTCACCAGTGTGAACTCTCTGGTGTTCAACCAAGTTATACTTGTAGCTAAACAACTTTCCACAGTCACTACACTCATATGAACTCTCTCCACTATAAACTCGCTGATGTCGAATCAGGTTAGACTTTAAGCTAAATGATTTCCCACATACCCCACATTCATATGGTCTTTCTCCTGTATGAACTCTCAAGTGGGCTAAGAGATTACACCTGTAGGTAAAAAATTTCCCACATTCCCGACACTCATATGGTCTTTCTCCAGAATGAATGGTCTGATGGTTATTGAAGCTACCATTTCTATTAAAAACACTGCCACATTCACTGTAAATATAACATGGTTCTCTAGTAAGCAGCCTCTGGTCCAAAACAAGCGTCTGTTGGGAGCTGAAGGTCTGCGCAGGTTCTCCCCAGTTGTGAGGAGGTTCTCCCCCAAGAAAGGGTGCCCCACACTGGCTCTTGCTGGTTGACGTCTTCCCAACAGGAGCGGCCTCGTGCTGGAGGAACCCGAGTCTGACAAGGAAGTCATTCTCAATACCGTTGAAGATGAACGGTTTCCCCGAAACATGCAACTTACAGCTCTTCACACACGAGACTCCGCCTATGTTTCCATTGAGTTTCTCTCCAATATGCTGACCCTGGTGCTGATGAAGTTTAACACTGTCAGACACCTTTTTCCCATGAGTGTCACAACTGTCCAGTTTCTGTGTGTGATGTGTTCCCCAGTGCTCACTCAGGCACACAATGTCTCCTGAGATGGGGAAACATATTTCATAGCCATGGGCCTTCCTGGGACACACACCTGTCTTAGGAGTCCAGACGTCAGACATTTTTAGTATGGAAAGACTCTGCTTAGAAGGTGCCTCATTTTCCACTCCACGCCAACAACCTGAAAGCAAGGAAATGCTGGTGAAGTGCATGTTGGGAGACTTTGGTGGGAGGACACAGCCTACCCACAAGTCTGTCTGACAAACTCAGGAACTAGTCCATGCAATTATATATAGGAACAGGGAGTTCAGATCTGAAGGCTAAAGAAGAGGCAGCTTAGCATTACTGGGCTATTAAGACCACAGAATGCAGAAGTCTCAGGATGTAAGGAGACAAACATGCCAAGCAACACAGGGAACAGAGGCAAAGTCTATAACCCATTCCTCTGCCAACGATTTGTCTACAGCACCTTATCTGCTGATGATACCTGACTATTACACAGAGGAGTATGTCCAGGCCCGAGAAAATACGACTATAGCACAGCAGCTGTTGGTCAGGGACTGTTTGAGAATGTAGATACACTTCACAACACAAAATACATTTGCCAACATCGGAAAACAATGAAGATTGAGCAGTGGGAAAAATGGGAGCGATGTGGAGTCCAAAGATTAGGCCTGGGTTGCTTGCAAGACCAGAAGTGACAAGGTACAGAATTGACAAGTCAGCAAACTCTAGAATGGAGAAGCAAAGACAGATTATACTGTTTGGCTACTGGTAGTGAAACTAAAATGCTGCCTAGACAGAACAGGTTTCTGGTATGATTTGAATATAGCCCTGAAGTCACACCCTCCCCCAGGCTGCTACTTCTCAGGCCAGGCTCCCTCAGAGCCCTTCTTGCTGAGTCTAGCATCTTCTGGACCACCAAGGGTTCTCCATCCCACAGGAAGATGAGTAATTACAGGGATTGGAATAATATAAATACTATGAGAACAACAACACAGAACAGCCAGAACTGACTCAGAACATCTCAGCAAAGGGCTGGTGTTGTGGCGCAGCAGGTTACATCATCATCTGCAATGCCAGCATTCTATATGGGTACCAGTTTGAGTCCTAGCTACTCTACTTCCAACCTAGCTCCCTGCCACTCCACCTGGGAAGGCAGCAGAACTTGGTCAAGTCCTTGGGCCCCAGCACCTACATGGGAGACCAAGATGGACTTCTGTGCTCCTGCCTTCTGCCTGGACCAGCTTTGGCTGTTGTGGACATTTGGGAAGTGAACCAACAAACAAATCAATCTCTCTTCCTACCTCCTCCCCACTACCATAATTCTTTCAAATAAATAAAATAAATCTTAAAAAAAAAAAGTCAGTACATGATGGGTACAGGAATGGAAAGCATACATTACAAAGAAAATTTTGAAGAATCCTCTAAGAATAGTCTACAGGCCATGGAAGTGGTGACCACATCAATGATGGCAATTCTTGGCACAGCAAGGAAAGAAGAAATGTCAGCTAAAGGAAGGAGGCGGCTCCTGGAGCACACAGGAGCACGGATTTGCACAGGCTTCCCCAGACAGCCAGAGCGGCAAGCAAAGTGGGATGCATTAGAGTGACTGAAAGACTCTTATTTCTGAATGCTTCAGAAGGGAAGCAGGTGTTACAGCTGCTCAAAGACAAGAGCAGGCAATACCCACACCTCAGTTCTAGCAGCCAGAGAAACAGCCCAGAGAACTACGGGGGAAAGCTATGTCCTTGGACCTGATGTGAGATGACAGACTTGCCAAGGGGAAACAGGAGGAGGGCAGACTACCTCAGGTCCCAGGGGTGAGTGTGTCTTACCCAAGGAGGACAGAAGTGCCAGGTTCTCCAGCATCACATCACGGTACAGCTGTCTTTGACCCTCATTAAGGAGCCCCCATTCTTCCTGGGAAAAGTTCACAGCCACGTCTTCAAAGGTCACAGTGCCCTGCTATGATGGTGACAGATGAAACCACAAACAGCACCCATCATGGAGCCATACAATGCATCTCCCCCAATATCTACCCTTACCCATGTTCCTCCCAAAGTTCCCATTTCAGAGGAAAAATAAGCCTATTAGTCCCAAAAACCGCAGTATACAGCCAACAGCAACAGGGGCAGACAACAACATGTACTGCTGCGGTTCTGACACAAAGGGATCCACCTCTACTGATAGGCAATTTCCCCTGGTATGGTTTAAGGTTATATAAATCCCAATGCAGCATTGTGGGGCCATCAAACATTTCTTTCTCTCTCTAAACACACATCATATTAGACTGTGTATCCCTCATAACTCCAGATACCACAGCGATGTATTCATGGATACCACCAACTCATAGGCCTCTCTACAGACTCAAGTTGTTTTTTCTTAATTTTTACCCATTTATACGGGGCGGGGGGGGGGGGGGGACGACACAACACTGGGAGGCAGTGCTCCCATTTGTTGATCCACTCTCCACAATGACTGGAGCTGGGCCAAAGATGGAAGCCAGAACTCAATCCGGGTCTCCCACACAGGTGGCAGGAATCCAGTTACTCCCAGGGTCTTCATTAGCAAGAAGCTAGAGCCAGGCATCAAATTTAGGTATTCCAATGTGGGATGGGAGTGTTGAAACTGGCCCCTTACAAACTAAGCTATCACCACCCACTCCCCTCAGTGTTCTAATCCTACTCTAATCCTATCCTTTTCACTCCACTGATGAGGCAGAGATTCCTGCCCTAGGGTTATAGTAATGTCCTGTGAGTGCAGGAAAAAACTTTTTGTCCTTTTCTCAAACCACAATCAACAGAGCAGACTTCTGTGACTTCAAAACACACGGGAACTTTTCCCTAAACACCAGCTGCATTTCCTCTAATGCAATCAGATTCCGGACTCAGTCCCCAAGAATGCCCCAGCCCTTTCCGTGCCAGATGCAAGCCCTATGCTTTACCCGTGCTTCTGACCCACAACTATAAACTGGGGGCCCAACACAACTCCCTCAATTTCCATTAAGTTTCCTCAAGTGGCTCACAGAATTCAGGAAAACACTTGTGCTAACGGTCTGTTATAAAGACTATTATAAAGGACACAGATGAAGAGATGGAGGGGGAGGAGGCACAGAGCTTCCAAGCCTTCTGTGGTCATGTCACCCTCCAGGAGCCTCTACCCGTTCAGCTCTGGAAAGCTTCCCAAACTCTGTTCTGAGATTTTATGGAGGCTTCCCTGCATAAGCATAACTGCCAACAGACTGGGCAGGCAACCCAGAGACCTGTCTGTTCAGATTCTCCTTGGTCTCTCTGCGCAGCATTCCTTCCATCAGGTATGAGGCAAGACCCCTCAGAATGAAGAAGGTCTTATGATCTACTATAAGATAAGGCAGGTCAGAGACAGGCGGAACACATTAGTTTATATGATCTACCATGGTGAACTGTAGATGAAATGAAAACATATATATCATAATATCACATAGCCAAACACAGGACAGCTGACACTGGACAAAGGCCTTCCAGACATTTACCACAGAAGGCCACATGGGAGTTACACTATGGATAAGAGTGAACATCCCAACACAAAGAATTAGGGGCCGGCACTGTGGAACAGCGGGTAAAGCCACAGCCCGTAACACCCGCACCCCGTAATGGGCACCAGTTCATGTCCTAGCCCACTCCACTTCCAATCCAGCTCCCTGCTAATGGTGTGGGAAAAGCAACAGAAGATGGTCCGTGTGCTTGGGTCCCTGCCACCCATGTGGGTGACCAGGAAGAAGCTCCTGGTTCCTGGCCTCATCCTGGCCACTGTGGACTTCTGGAAAGGGAATCAGTGGATGAAAGATCTCTCTCTGTCTGTCTCTCCCCCTCTCTGTAACTCTTTCAAATAAATAAATCTTTTTAAAAAAAAAAAAATACATATGTCAGAGGTGATAGAATATTCCAGTTACCCTGATCTGATCATCACATACACATTACATATTGAAATGCCACACTACATCCTATAAATGTATACAATTACTATGTGTCAATTTAAAAAATATTTAACTAGGAAAAATAAACTTAAAAAGGAACAATCAAAGTCTGCAAGCTTTGTGGGATGAAGAGGAGCACTGGTACCTGATTCCTTTCAGAGGGTGCAAGTTAGTGTGGAATAAACTCATTACAAAGGAATAATAACAGGAACTTAGTTCTGTGATAAAAAGGGTTGCCAGGCTGATATATTGTTCAAAAGAGCAGAGTGGGAAACCAATCTGCACCCAGTCCTTCTAAGATCATCCTAGTATAATCAGAAACAAAGAAGTACATTATAGTGGGTCCTAATTGGGGCCTGACACCATGTGCCTAGCAGCCATCCAGAACGTGGTAAATTTAAAGCAGATCTAATATTACCACATAACTGTGATTCCCAGTAACAGTGGCCGCTCCAAATCAGCCTACGAAGGCCTCCGTGCATGGCTCCATAGCCATATTCACCGTGCGCGGCTTCAGCTCTCCATGGCGCCATTCAATTTCTGTGCTACATTAACGTGCTCTCTCCCCAGCAATTACAGCATTTCTCTCTCCACTTAACCCCATTCAAAACCCAGCCCCTTCGGCCATTGCCTAATGAGTCTCAGATGACAGTATTTGCCCCCCCCACCTCCATTGGGTATGAAACACCTCAGCGCCACCAGTCATCTCAGCATCCTGGTGAGACCCGAGTGGTGAGTAAGCCACAGCGCCAGCCTGCGTGTCATCGTCGCCCCGTGTCCATCTCACGTCCCTTCTTCCCTCGGAGCCTGTGCCACCGGCCAGAGGCAGCCCTACACGCCCTCCATCGCGGCCATTCACCTCTCACCTATTTATGAAGCTCGAAGCCATCACTCAGGCACCCAAGCAAGAGGCTCAGTCCTCAGCCTCCAACCTCCCCCTTGCTGGCCCCAAGAGCGTCACCGTCGTAATCTGAAGTGTGCCCCTCCCATGACCCACGGCTCTCACTCGGTCCATGCAGGAGCTGCAAGATAGCGCACGTCTCCAACATCAACAGCTCCCCAGATAACCCGGCCTCTGTGTCCGGACGCCCATTTTATAACATCCACACCACAGGATCATCACCCTAGCCAAGACGACTCCCTTACAGGCACTACCAACGTCCTCGGTTCGGTCTCTGGGAAACTTAGAACGCGAACGTAGATCCTTCCTTCCTTCAAAGGCCTCCATGAGTTCTGGAATCCGCACGGCGAAGGTGCAACACCCAGTCTGCTCGTGCAGGCTGCGCTCCGCCTCACGCTCTTGGCTCCGGACCTCCATGCACGTGCCGCCCCCTCTGCCAGAACCACTCTCCGGCCCCGCATCACGCAGTGGGCAGCGGCGGGGACCCATCCACCTGCGCTTCACTGTTCTCGATACGGGGGCCTGGGCTGCAGGGACAGGGTTGAGGCGGGTGGCGGCGGCGGGCGAGAGCCGGGAGGGCGCTGCACTTACCTGAGCCAGGACTCTCCGCTCGGTCTCCGCCATCGGACTGAGTGCGAAACGGGGACCCGGGCACTGTGGTCTCCGTCACGCCCCTGGCGCAGGTCAACTGTACAGCATGGCCCAGCCTCGGACCTTCTGACCCTCCTCCCGCGCTACGTCCGGCCCCTCAGACCCGACCTACACTCGGGAAACTGATCACTACACACCTATGACCAACAAAAATGGCCCCTTGGAGGAGGACCCCGGAAGTCCCGCCTCATGTTAGCTTAACACGCGGAAGCGACTTTTGTTCCGGGAGCATTCATTGGCTCTGCTCGCTGTCTTTCGACACACAGCTTTCTGGGTAATGTAGTTCCCGCAGATTTCAAGGTACTCTGCACTAGAGCTCGAGGAGGAAAGGCCAAGCTGCAATGCTAGGGGATTGGCCCCAGGTAGAGCAGGGTCTCCGCTCCCCCTAGAAGCCATATTCAGATTTCTGTGGAACCCTGTAATGGTTCAATCACCTGTTTTGGAAACATTGTGTTTCAGGTTTCAGGAAAATCAACCTGCTCCCAGACACTAAAAATACTTCAGATGTTCCGAAATGCACGTATCATGCTTTAGTCTTTTAGACACAGAATGCCTCTACTGGAAGCATTTTAGACACAGAATTTTTGACATTTTAGACACAGAATGCCTCTAACGAACATCGTGTTACAATTCAAATGTGTGCACTCTGAAGCATTAGTGTGGTGGTGGTCTGTGAATGTGTGGTCAGGAACAAGAGAGAAATTCCAGTAAGACCATGACAAGGAGGATAAGGGAGCAATGTGTGCCTGCCCGAAGTTCGAAGTTGAATCTGTCAGTGGTTCCCACAGAAAACAACTATCCTGCCTGCAGAGTTCACTTTGTGTCCAAACACTTGAGCAACACTTTCACCCACCTAGTACCCTAATGTGATAGCCTAACATATTCTTTTTAGGAATGTGACATCAGACTCAAAAGCAGAACAATGAAATAAGTGGTGTTTTGGCAGTGGCAATACTGCAGTGTTCACAGAGGAGCACATACTCAAAGGACCCTCTCCACATGAAAACCCCGAGAGTATCTTAAAATCCACGAGTTTGAATCACTGTTGGGGGCTGTCATTTCTCCTGTGATGTCAGGACACATTCTGCATGAAAATTTGATATTATACCATGAAAAATTGTAAAATATAAATTAACAATGTGTATGTAGTAATTCGGGGTGGTGTCAGAAATAGCTCTGGACGTATCAGTAGCTGGTGAGGAAAGTTAAGACCTCAAGAAATTTTAGATGTGATATCTGAGAAGAAATAGAATTAAGATCTGCACAGCACTAGAATGGTCACCCTGATGGTGTTCTCTCCAAAATAAGATTCTTAGTTCGTTCTTGAATGCCTCGGGCAATACCAGCATGACAGAAACAGAAAAGAACTTTCACGACTGCCAGAATGGTAGAAATAATTTATAGTATTATCTCCATAGAATTCTATCTGGGGGCCGGCACTGTGGCGCAGTAGGTTAATCCTCTACCTGGGGTGCCAGCATCCCAGATAGGTGCTGGTTCGTGTCCTGGCTGCTCCACTTCGGATTCAGTTCTCTGCTGTGGCCTGGGAAAGCAGTAGAAGATGGCCCAAGTCCTTGGGCCCCTACACTTGTGTGGGAGACCCAGAAGAAGCTCCTGGCTCCTGGCTTCGGATTGGCCCAGCACCAGCCGTGGTGGCCATTTGGGGAGTGAACCAGCAGATTGAAGACCTTTGTCACTGTCTCTCCCTGTCGTTGTCTGTAACTCTACCTCTCAAATAAATAAAATTTTTAATAAAGAAGAATTGTATCTGCACATATGTTCAAATGTTTTTATACAAGTTGTTATTCTCAGTGAAAATAAAATCATTCTTTGCATACAGATCTGCGCTGTTTTTCTTTCTTAACAATGTTTTGGCCAACTGAAAGCTATTTGCTCCTTTTACACTTGACAACGTATCTCCATTTTCAATTGCTTTGCATTTCATTTTATTCAAGCACCAGCCGGCGCCGCGGCTCACTAGGCTAATCCTCCACCTAGCGGCGCCGGCACACTGGGTTCTAGTCCCGGTTGGGGCGCCGGATTCTGTCCCGGTTGCCCCTCTTCCAGGCCAGCTCTCTGCTGTGGCCCGGGAGTGCAGTGGAGGATGGCCCAGGTGCTTGGGCCCTGCACCCCATGGGAGACCAGGAAAAGCACCTGGCTCCTGGCTCCTGCCATCGGATCGGCGCGGTGCGCCGGCCACAGCACGCCGGCCATGGCGGCCATTGGAGGGTGAACCAACGGCAAAGGAAGACCTTTCTCTCTGTCTCTCTCTCTCACTGTCCACTCTGCCTGTCAAAAAAAAAACAAACAAAAAAAAAAATTCAAGCACCAAGAATGGCCGCCTGAAGTGCAGGAGCCTACGCAGCGTACTGTCCTGCCCTTGGTGCCCAAGGTCCCTCCTCCAAGACCACAGGAAACTCTCTGGAAACACCATGGCTCTTTCCTGTCCATCTGCCTGCTCACTGGTACCCTCCACACTGAAAACCAGAACCAGATAACTCCACTGTTGAGTTCAGACACTGCCAATTCCTTCCAAATATGGCAATCGAAAACCTTCCTACGGTGCGTTGACTGGGTTAGGCCTCTCCACCTGCTTTGCAGCACTGGAGGCAGCAGGGAGAAGCTCATCATCCTGGCTGTATCATGTTCTGTAGTCAGGATGCAGATGGACCAAACATGGGGATCTAGCACTGCTCAGGTTCAACAGGTAGAGAAACATCACCCATGAAGGAAGGGACTGGGATGCAGTAGTTGATACCATCTGTCTGCACCTGACCGCTCACGTAATGATGAAGATATAAGCATCTGTGGCAAAGGGGAGCTGGGCAGCCTGCTGTGAAGGTTCAGATTGCCCCGTCCCAGGGAAGGCCACCTACGACATAGGGCAGGACTTCCTGCCACCTCCTCAGTCTGGACTTTAACCAATGTAACACTCACCCTCAGCCTTCCTGGCTCCCCTTCTCTGTGAAGGTGGGAAAGTCTCCTGACAGGAAACAAGGATGTGACCTCACCTGCTATGTTGTTGTCCCTACGAGGGACAGCCCTTTCTGTGTAATCAGAGGGCTGACACCAGTTCCTCATGATTTGTGTACCTTCTATGCGCTTTTGTAGAGGTTAAGGTTGGAAACTCCTATTACTCCACTATTGTCAAAACATACAATGCACTTGAAAGAAATAAGGAGCAGTCTGAGTTTCAAAACTGAATTAACAGTACTAAAGTAGTTCTGTTTGTTTTTTTCTTTAATACATTTCAGCAAACTAGAACTCTCTTGGTTCCCAATAGAAGTGGGATAAAGTGATAAAGCGCCAAAATAAACTAGCCAAAGTGTATCAGAGTGCTGGTTCAAGTACTGGATGCTCCACTTCTAATCCAGCTTCCTGCTAATGCACCTAGGAAAGCAGTGGATGATGACCCAAGTGCTTGGGCCCCTGCACCTGCATACTTATAGAGTTCCTGGTTTCTGGCTTCAGCCTGAGTCCTGGCTAGTGTGGGGCTTTGGAGAGTGAAATAGGAAATGAAAGAGTGTGTGTATGCTTGCCCTCTCTCCCTCCCTCTGTGTGTGTGTGTGTGTGTGTTTGTGCACACATCTCCCTTTCAGTCACTCTTTTTGAATAAATGAATAAATCTTTTAAAAAAAAACTTATATAGGACAATTTATATTTTTGTACCATTTTTAGTATTATTATACTCAATATCCTTTTGACAATGACACTGAGCCTATTTAGTTATTTCTAACGGATAATCCACTCAACGACACTGTAAGGGAAATGTCAAGAATTAAGAAATATTGAAACATGGAAAATTCTGACTATGGGACTGTCCTCTATTGATATAGCTCTGAATCTTAAGATTGTTCACAATAAAGGAGACGCCAAAACAACCTTCTTTCCTACTGGCAAATTTTCCATTTATTAACTCAGTTTAGATAGTTAAGATGTGAAATCATCAAGTATATATCCTGGCATATGTGATTTACCAATGGCCCATGTGTTGGTAAGTGGATTAACAAACTATTGATCACTTGGTCCATCCTCCTTGGCAATGAGGAGCACGTGGAGTTTTTTGCTAATGTGCATGTTCTAACTCATTTGACATAAGAGGTGCCTACAAAATTTTCACTGTAAATACCATGCAAATTCAGAAGTATAAGGCACACACACATTCACATAATATATAAATTTCCAAATATTTTTTAAAAAGCCACTGTGAACTAACTTTGCAGCTCCTCAATTAGCAAAATTTACAGAGATAACACACAGAACCCTGACTCAGGAAATCTGAGTATACATCCCCACTGCCTCTCTCTGTCAGTATTTATATTCCAATACCAGAAAGCAAACTCATTTCTCCATATAACACTTCTTACTGAATCATCTTTTTTCAATATTTTGTTTACTGACTTGAGAGGCAGAGTTACACAGAGAGAAAGGGAGACAGAGAGAGAAAGTTCTTCCATCTGCTGGTTCACTCCCCAAATGACCACAACGGCCAGAACTGGACTGATCTGAAATCGGGAGCTTCTTTCAGGCCTTCCATGGGGGTCGGGGCCCAAGCACTTGAGCCATCTTCTGCTGCTTTCCCAGGCCATAGAAGAGAGCTGGATCAGAAGAGGAACAGCCGGGACAGGAACCAATACCCATATGGGATGCCAGTACCACAGGCTGAGGCTTAACCTACTGGCCACAGCATCAGCCCTTTTTTCTTTTTTTTAAGATTTATTTATTTATTTATTTGAAAAGCAGAGTTACAGAGAGGCAGAAGCAGAGACAGAGATCTTCCACCCACTGGTTCATTCCCCAGATGGCCAGAGCTAGGCCGATCCGAAGCCAGGAGCCAGGAGCTTCTTCCGGGTCTCCCACATGAGTGCAGGAGCCCAAGGATTTGGGCCATCTTCTACTGTTTTTCCAGGCCACAGCAGAGGGCTGGATCAGAAGTGGGACAGCCGGCTCTCGAACCGGCGCCCATATGGGATGCCAGTGCTTCAGGCCAGGGTGTTAACCCGCTGCTCCACAATGCAGCCAAAGCAAAGAGTTTTGACACTGAGATATGTCAAGTGCCTGCCTTTATCATTTCTTGGCCTTTTAGCTAAGACTAAGTATCCACAATCTTCCCTCAATTTTGTTTCTTGCTGTAAGGTGATTATCATTTATCTTACAACTGCAAGCATTGAATCTTTTCTATTACAGAAAAGCAGTTGTGGCACAGTGGGTTTGCAGCGCCGGCATCCCATATGGGCCCCAGTTCGCATCCCAGCTGCTCCACTTCTGATCCAGCTCTCTGCTATGGCCTAGAAAAGCAGCAGAAAGAAGATGGTCCAAGTCCTTGGGCCCCTGCACCCATGTGGGAGAGCTGGAAAAAGCTCCTGGCTCCTGGCTTTGGATCAGCTCCGCTCTGGCCATTGCAGCCATCTGGGGAGTGAACCAGCAGATGGAAGATCTCTCTCTCTCCCTCTCTGCCTCTGCCACTCTGTAACTCTGTTGTTCAAATAAATAAAACAAAATTAAAAAAAAAAAGCAGTTGGAAAATGCAACTAATGGAAAGTCATTAACAATGACTCTGAAGTGACTCAAAGGTGGTAGGAGAAGATTTCTGAGGACTATCAGTGAAAATGTTAAGACCACAGAGAAGTCCCAGCAGTGATTTGTAAGACAGAACTAAGATAAGCACTTGCCTACAAGGGTCATTCAGGTCTGTCTCCAAAATGTAATTCTTGTTCATTCTTGAGGACATTAAGCAATGCCAGCATCAAGGGAAAGTTAGATCTTGAGTAACCAGGTTTTTGCTCACTCCCACTCCATCACTCTGTTTTTCCAATAAATATGAACACTTAACGGAGTAACCAGGATTGTTAGAGAGAGAGAGACTGAGGCTCAGAATATGGTTCAGTACTACTCTTTTAGAATTGTTTACTCATGAGGCAGTTGTTTAGCTTAGCAGTTAAAACTCCTTCTTTACATATTGGAGCAACTGGGTTTAATACCTTGCTCCAGCTCCTGACCCCAGCTTCCTGATAATGCAGAACCTCTGAGGCAAAATGGCTCAAGTAACTGGGTCCCTAATACCCACATGGAAACAGGATTGACTTCCCAACTCCACTGCGGGGATTTGGGGAATGAACCAGTGGATGGAAACACTCTCTTTGCCTCTCAAATAATTTCTTTTCAATTATGTATTTACATGTATGTTGGGCTGCATGTCCATGTGTTTAAATTTGTTTATATGCAAATTGTCTTGGTAACAAAGTCATTCATTGTATACAGATCTGTACTTTGCTTTTCTCACTTAACAATACATCTTGGACATCCACAGCTGCTTCCTCATTTTACAGCCCATACCTCCTTACCTCCATACATGGTAGACCTAACATTGTCTTTTTTTTTTTTTTTTTTTTAGATAATTTGCATCTCACTGTGTGCTCCTAAGATGGCCAGTTGCAGGAAGGCAGAAGCCGGGACCTTCTGATTCCTCCTTGGTTTCTAGTTTTTCTTAAGGCCATGGAAAATTCTGTGGCAGCACCAGGGGTCATCCCATGCTGGTTCCTTCATGCTCAGGGTGCTCTGGGCCAAAAACTGTGACCAGTCAATGTTGGCACTGATTTGGGAGAACATGGCAATGCTGTTCCAGGCCTTGGGACTCCGAGCCATGCTGTCACGTAGGTTGAGGGCTGGGTTAGGTGTGGGTGCCTCAAGAGTCCAGAAGGCAGCAAGGATAAAAGTAACTTCTCTGCTGGTGTGTGGCCACGTCGGGTCCCAGAGATGGTCCTGACACAGGAGGTGAAGACATTGGCCCTGATGGAAGATGACAGAATTCCACAGCAGGCTGCACCTTACCTGTGACATAAGGGTCTCTGCCTCTGGGGAACAGGGAAGCAGCCTGAGGCTTCAGACCACCATGGTTCTGGTAGCCTCCCAAATCATGGCTGTGAAACTGCAGCTGCAGAATCTCCTGTCACCCCCCACCCGGCTCCACTGGCTCCGACCCCCACTGCCTGCCTCCACCTCTGCTGGCTAGGCACCTCTTCCCCATGCAGGTTTGGCAAGAACCCCAGCAGGACAGGAGCTTGCGACTGCATGAGGATCCTGTGCTGCTTCCTGTCCTGGACCCAAGGGAGTTGCTCCATGTGTTCTGACAAGTTTTACGGCAGTTGTGGCAAGAATGGAAGAGGCGAGTTACTTCTCTACAGCAGAAACACATTTGAAGAAAATAAAAGGGATTCTTAGTTTCAAAACCCAATTATCAATATGAATAGGCCTTTTTCTTTTTTTGTGAAAGATTTATTTTAATTATTTGAAAGGCAGAGCTACAGAGAGGGGCGAGGAGAGATAGAGGTCTTCCATCCACTGGTTCACTCCCCAAATGGCCGCAACAGCCAGGGCTGGGCCAGGCTGAAGCCAGGAGCCAGGAGCTTCATCCAGGTCTCTCACATGGGTGCAGGACCCAAATACTTGGGCCATCTGCTGCTGCTTTCCCAGGAGCATCAGCAGGGAGCTGGACTGGAAGTGAAGCAGCTAGGACTTGAATGGGGCTTTTTCACTTTGCAAAACTGTAATTTTTTTGTTCCACAGAAATTGAGTCAAATATAAAGTTCCAACCTAAGTTTCCCAAAATTTATGTAAGTTGATTTATAGCTTTATTTTGAAAATGACACCAATTATGCCCATGAACTTATATCTGTCATTGACCCTATCTTATTGTATGTATTTATTTGAGAAGATAGTTGAATAATCTATAATTGTATATAAATAATAACTAAATACCAATACAATTACCAGAAATCATTGGGAAAGAAACAAAAAGAGCCTTTGGAAATTCAATGCATAAATACAGTTTATTCAAATCATCACATGAAGTATAATAAATAAAAATGTAAATAAATCTGAAATGTGCAAAATTATGGGGAAAATCACAAATTAATATTGTACAAAGGTAGCAAAAGATATAATTCTTGTCATGATTTCACTTACACGTTTCTAAACAGGAAAAGCTAAACTACACTTATCAGTATTCCCTAGCTATCAAGAAAAGCAGGGAACCCTATGTAAAATGTAAGAAAAATGCTTAGCACTTGTGGCCGGGGTAGTTTCAAAACAGGGGGCAACTGGGGTGCTATAAATATTCCACTTATGAGACTGAGAAATACCTAAACAGTAAATTTGCAAAATGTTTTAAATTGCACCTGTATGCTTTATGCAATCTTCTGTATGCATGTGAAATTTTGAAATACAGGACAAAATTACTGGGATATATATGAATATGCAAGTTATGTCAAAAAGACATGTAATAGAAAGATACAAGCACTGACGCTGTGGTACAGTAATCTATATGGGCACCAGTTCATGTCCTGGCTGCTCCTCTTCTGAGCCAGCTCCCCACTTACAGCCCGGGAAAGCAGTGGAAGATGGCCCAAGTGCTTGGGCCACTGCATCCGTGTGGGAGACCTGGAAGTACCTCCTGGATCTTGGCTCCAAATTGGCTCAGCCCTGGCTGTTGCAGCCATTTGGGGAGTGAGCCAGCACATGGAAGAGGTTTCTTTCTCTCTTAATTCTAATTCTTTCTCTCTCTAATTCTAATAAATAAATAAATAAAATCTTTAACAAAAAAAGAAAAGAGAGAGAGAGGTAACAGAAACATACATACACATACACACACACACACACACACACACACTCGTGCCCACATTTGGCAATAAGCATTTCAGGGCAAGTTCTTTCTTTCAGTGAAGTAGCCCAAGCCCTTAGGTGTTGAAATCCATGCTGTTACACTGAAAAACTACATGCACAACACAGCCAGAAGTCAGGAAAAAAAAGAGAAAGGTACAAATTTTAAATAAAGACTGGTGCATCCCATGAACAAAGGGGGAAAGCACTATAACAGTACTTCAAAAAGGTTGTGGAGGGGCAGGCATTGTGGTACAGCAGCGAAGATGCCTCTTGGAATGCCCACATCCCATATCAAAGTCCTGAGCAAGACCTGGCTCAGATTCTGATCCAGCTTCCTACCAATGTGCATCCCGGAATGGTCCAAGTATATGGGTCTCTGCCACCCACATGGGAGACCTGGAGTTCCAGGTTTCCAGATTTAACCTGGTCTAGACTCAGATAGTACAGGCATTTGGGGGTGAACCAGTGAATGGGAGATTCTCTCGCGCGCACGCGCTCTCTCTCTCGTTCTGCCATTCAAATAAACCTTTAAAAGTTTACAAACTGATTTAATTTTTAAAGTCTCTGAAAGAAAAACTGAACTAAGGGCAAGTTTATTTTTATTTTAATTCCATTTTCTATGACCTTTTTGAAGTATGCTCATCTGTTATGAAATAAGTAAAAGTAATTAGTAATACAAAAGTAATTAGTAAAAGAAAAGTAATTAGTAATACAAAAAGTATACTACATAGAAACCATTAAACTATTTTAAAGGCACAAAAATCTCAGACTGGATAAAATGGATTTTCCAACCATGAATTAGATATATGAGAAACACTTAAAAAAAACTGAAGACAAACTGAAAATAGTGTTTTAAAAAACATACCTGATGTTATAAAAAAAAGTCTGGGAAATCTTATTAAAGAAAAATCAGTCTACTCTGGCACGCTTCTACTAGCATCAGAACCAGCTGGATCCATGGTAGCCAGTGCCAACGCTGTGCAGGGTCTTCCACAGGCTGGGCCCAAGTCTGTTACTACCATGGTCGTGAGGGACCCACTTCTGTCCGACACGCAGAGTGCTCCATTTGGATTTCCTCAAAGCTAGGCAGTGTTGACAAGGACGCCACTTTCACTTTGCCTTGTCTGATCACCTTCAGAACCTACTTGTTCCTGGTGCGTTCATAGCAACTTGAGGCCTAAACCTGATGAATCCAGAAATTTATGTTCTTTACAGCCACAAAGATGGCTGAGGAGCAAGCAGGGTTAGGATCTTTTTTAAATTCTGGATTGTATCATTGTTCTCTCAGAAGTGGAAAACCTTGTCTATATCTTTTAGTCAAGTGGTCCACTATTATCTGGGGAGCACAGCTAATGCAGAGCTATGACCACTTAAAATGCCTCTCAAGTGAATTGTCTTTTAAAACTGTGTAATTGTAAATCCGTTTGGAATGATAATTCATGATCCAAATGAGGATGCAGTGAAATTGCTTTTTTATTAAAGCAATTCTGCAACACTTACATTAAATAACTCAATTTTCTTAAGTAAAACTTAGATTAAATTTTCAGGAAAAGAACAAAATTACTCTTAATGTACCAAAAACCTGACCATGGAAACAGAAAACCTGATGTGTAGACTAACATAGTCTAATAGCTTTGGTCATTTTGTATTTCATGATCATGAATCAGACTGCTTTAAAAAGAATCTAAAGAGAATGAATTCAGCAGTTAAATAAGCAAAAACTTAGATTTTCCAGTTTATCTGAAGGCGAAACAAAATATATCTGGAAAAATGGAATAAATGATAAGTGTGCCCTAAGTCTTAATTATAGAATAAGTGATTCTTGGAGAAAATACATTATAACATATATATATATACATATATATATATGAATAAATTAATTCTAAGCACATATATTAATTGTGCATCATTCCGTAAAGTTGAAAAAATAAATTTAGTAGTATAATAAAATACCAAAAAATTAGAGTGATGAATTCAGCACAGTAAGATTTTGAGTGAAGGAATGAAATAGAAATAGTCAATATAAAAGTGTCAAATAAATTTGTTATAAAAATTTAAGTTATAAACAAGTACAAAGATCAAACTGGTGGCCGGCGCCGCGGCTCAATAGGCTAATCCTCCACCTTGCAGCGCCGGCACAGCGGGTTCTAGTCCTGGTCGGGGCACCGGGTTCTAGTCCCGGTCGGGGCCCTGGATTCTGTCCCGGTTGCCCCTCTTCCAGGCCAGCTCTCTGCTGTGGCCCAGGAGTGCAGTGGAGGATGGCCCAAGTACTTGGGCCCTGCACCCACATGGGAGACCAGGAAAAGCACCTGGCTCCTGCCATCGGATAAGCACACCGGCCGCGGCGGCCATTGGAGGGTGAACCAATGGAAAAGGAAGACCTTTCTCTCTGTCTCTCTCTCTCACTGTCCACTCTGCCTGTCAAAAACTAAAAAAAAAAAAAAAAATCAAACTGGTACAAGAATTAACAAAAGCTTGGATGGCAATATGATGCGGCAGGTTAAGCCACCACTGCCTGCAATGCTGGGATCCCATATGAGTGCTGGTTCGAGTCTCATCTGCTCCACTTCTGATCCAGCTTCCTGCTGATGTGCCTGGGAAAGCAGCTGAGGATGACCCAAATGCTTGGGCCCCTGCACTCATATGGGAGATCTGGATGGAATTCCAGTCTCCTAACTTCAATCTGTCCAGTACTGGTCGTAGTGGCCATTTGGGGAGTGAACTAGCGGATAAAAGAGCTCTCTCATCTCTCCCTTTCTCTGTAACTATGCCTTTCAAATAAAGTTTGGTTTTTTTTAAAGATCATTATTTATTTATTTGAGAGGCAGATTACAGGCAGAAAGAGGGAGAGACAAAGAGAAAGGTCTTCCATCCACTGGTTCACTCACTAAATGGCCACAATGGCCAGAGCTGTGCCAATCCGAAGCTAGGAGCCAGGAGCTTCTTCCAGGTCTCCCACGGGAGTGGCAGGGGCCCAAGCACTTGGGCCATCTTCTTCTGCTTTCCCAGGCCATAGCAGAGAGCTGGATCAGAAGAGGAGCAGCTGAGACACAAACCAGAGCCCATATGGGATGCCAGTGCTGCAGGCGAAGGCTTAGCCCACTATGTCACAATGTCAGCCCCTAAATAAATCTTTTCTTTTCTATTTATTTATTTGACAGGTAGAGTGAGAGTGAGAGAGAGAGAGACAGAGAGAAAGGTCTTCCTTCCATTGGTTCACTCCCCAAATGGCTGCTACAGCCGGCACTGCACCGATCTGAAGCAAGGAGCCAGGTGCTTCTCCTGGTCTCCATGGGGTGCAGGGCCTAAGCACCTGGGCCATCCTCCACTGCCTTCCCGGGCCACAGCAGAGAGCTGGACTGGAAGAGGAGCAACTAGGACTAGAACCGGCACCCATATGGGATGCTGGCGCTGCAGGCAGAGGATTAACCTAGTGAGCCACGGCACCGGCCTCCCCTAAATAAATCTTTTTTAAAAACTACCTATGAAAAAGGTGGGAGGGGGACAGGCAGCATTTTGATGCAGTGGGTTAAGCTACAATACTGCCAGTGTCCTGCTAATGTGCTTGGGAAAGTAACAGAAGATGGCCCAGGTACTTGGCACCCTGCAACCCACGTGGGACCCAGATGAAGCTCTTGGCTCCTGGCTCCTGGCTTCCACCTGGCCCATTTGGGGAGTGAACCAGCCGATGGACGATCTCTCTGTCCCTCTGCCTTTATAACTCTGCCTTTCAAATAAACACAGGAACATCTTGTATCCTACAAACAGGACAAGGCAATATCCATCAGCATGTGTGGTCATAATACAGTCTGTTAGAACAAGCCATTTCTGACTTACAGATGTCACAGCAGACACCTGTTACTGATCCAGAGCTACCTGAGATCTTTCCAAAGAGAAGGGGGTAAAATGTTAATAAGACTTAAGATACTATGAACATACAAAATATGATTGTATACAGAGTAACATTGAGGGCTTATAATTCCTTTATATTCTTAAGTATTTTGCTTTTTGCATCAAAGAATCTCTACTGAATTTTCTAAGGTGTCTGTCTAAATCAGACAGGTAGTTTTAATTCCTGCTTTCATCAGAGACATGTTAGTAAATTATGCCTAGTACTCTGAACACATTTGAAAATCATGATCACAGGTAACCAAACAAGTGCATATACCAACAATTGCTAGGGATGCTCAGGGTCCACTCTACAGCTGTAGCCGGCTGTACTGCTCCATTTGGGAGGAAGTTAGAACAGACACTGAGCTTCGGTGCCTTTGGTCAATAACAAGGAGACTAATCCAGACAGATCTAAGAAAAAACATGGAGATTTTTCGCAGTCCTAAAGCAAGGAGGTGAGTTGGCATCATACCTCTAGGTCCCTCAGAGTATTCTTGGCCTCTTTCTCAATATGTGTCCCAATCCCAGAACTATTTTTCTACATATTACTGAATATCCTAGGTTATACTCTATTCCTTCTAAGAATGTGACACTTATCTAAAAATAATGATTACTTAGCAAATTCACACTTGCTATCAGAGCAGTGGTTGTGGTGACAAAATTCAGGCACAGGCAGAATGTGGGCATGTGAGTCCTGGGACAAAGGTTTGGAATTCCACAACCTCACCTCCTTGCTAGGAACTGACTGGACTGTAGCTTCACCCATATGGACAGCAGCAGTGTCTGCAAAGGACCTGAAGATTATCTCTGGAAAACAGTTGTGCAGAGAGCAAATTATACCATTATTAATTATACCATCATTGATTAACGAATGGAGTTATCCATTAAGAATATCTGGAAAATATCTGAGAATTCCAACAGATGTATCTCAGTGGGAGAGAAGACATTCTGATAAATGACAGAGTGTAGTCAGCTAAACTCAGCGTACACTGGAAAATTGGCTAATATGAAACTGACACATGTAGTCTTAGTGAGATACTTATTCTTCCATAGAAAATGGTCGGTCAGCTCCTGGTTCCACACACTGAGAAAATGATCTTTCTCCCCTGTCTTTCTAGGGTACCTCAAATGTGATTGTGATGCAGCCACGGTCCATATTTACTCACTCCTAAACCAAAATAATTATTAGCTCAGGCCGCCATAACAAAATATCATAGACTGAGCAGCTTAAAACAAGAAAATGTATTTTATCACAGTTCTGGATGGTAAAATTCCAGAGCCAGGACACGAGTATGGTCAGCTTTTGGTGAGGGCTCTCCGCCTGGCTTGCACATGCATTATTGCTATGTGGTCACATGGCCTCTACTCTGTGCACATATAGAGCGCCCTCTGCTGTCTCTTTCTCTCTTTAGGACACCAATCATATTGGATTAGGGTCCCCGTCCTTACACCTCATTTAACCTTAATTACCTCCATAAAGTCCTTAACTATACATACAACCACATAACAGATCAGGGATTAAACACAGGGATTTTACAGGGACATAGTTCAGTTCCTAGCGGCCTACCTGTGTTAATCAGGCATCCATCCCTTGTGGACACTCTGGTGTTTCAGGAGGTTAGAGCTGAAGGTAAAGGACTTCCCACATTCACTGCACTCAAACGGTCTCTCACCACTGTGGACTCTCCGGTGGTCACTGAGGTTGGAGCTCTGGCTGAAGCACTTCCCACATTCGCCGCACTCAAAAGGCCTTTCTCCAGAGTGAACGCGTCGGTGTTTTACGAGACTGGAGTGGTGACTGAAGGCCTTCCCACACTCGCTGCACTCGTAAGGCCTTTCCCCGGTGTGACTTCTCCGATGCCGAATGAGACTGGAGTGGTGACTGAAGGCCTTCCCACACTCGCTGCACTCGTAAGGCCTTTCCCCGCTGTGACTTCTCCGATGCCGAATGAGACTGGAGTGGTGACTGAAGGCCTTCCCACACTCGCTGCACTCGTAAGGCCTTTCCCCGCTGTGACTTCTCCGATGCCGAATGAGACTGGAGTGGTGACTGAAGGCCTTCCCACACTCGCTGCACTCGTAAGGCCTTTCCCCGCTGTGACTTCTCCGATGCCGAATGAGACTGGAGTGGTGACTGAAGGCCTTCCCACACTCGCTGCACTCGTAAGGCCTTTCCCCGCTGTGACTTCTCCGATGCCGAATGAGACTGGAGCTCTGGCTGAAGGCCTTCCCACACTCGCTGCACTCGTAAGGCCTTTCCCCGGTGTGACTTCTCCGATGCCGAATGAGACTGGAGCTCTGGCTGAAGGCTTTCCCACACTCGCTGCACTCGTGAGGCCTTTCTCCAGTGTGCACTCTCTGGTGCTGCAGGAGCGTAGAGCTGTGAGTAAAGGACTTCCCACACTCCCCACACGCGTAAGGCCTCGCACCAGTGTGAATCTTCCAGTGTGTAATGAGATAGGACTTGCAGCTAAAAGACTTCCCACATTCACTACACTCATAAGGCTTTTCTCCGGTGTGAACTCTCCGATGGACAACAAGGTCAAACTTCCTGCTGAATAATTTTCCACATTCAACACACTCATGAGATGTTATTCCAGTGTGAACTCGCCGGTGTTGGAAGAGACGAGAGCTATAGACAAAGAATTTCCCACAATCCCTGCACTCATAAGGCCCTTCTCCAGTGTGAAGTCTCTGGTGTTTTATAAGGTGACAGCTCTGGCTAAAGGATTTCCCGCACTCACCACACTCATAAGGCCTTGTTCCAGTGTGAACTCTCTGGTGTGTAATGAGGCTGGAGCTGTGGCTAAATGATTTTCCACATTTGCTGCACTCATAAGGCCTTGTTCCAGTGTGAATCCTCTGGTGTGTAACAAGGCTGGAGCTATGGCTAAAGGCTTTCCCACACTCACCACACCGATAAGGCCTTTCCCCAGTGTGAACTCTCCGATGTACAAACAGGTCATACTTCCTGCTGAACAGCTTTCCACACTCATCACATCGGTGAGGTCTCACTCCAGTGTGAGCTCTCCGGTGCGTAATGAGGCTAGAGCTTTGCCTGTAGGCCTTCCCACATTCCCCACATGTATAAGGCTTCTCCGAAGTGTGAATTCTCGAATGATCACTGAGGCTGTAGCTCATGCTAAACGACTTCCCACATTCACTGCACACATAGCAGCGTTTCCCACTGAGGGCCCTCTGGTGCTGGACACGTGCCTGCTTGTGGCTGAGAGCGTTCACGAGTTCACCCCAGCTGGAACGGCTTGCTACGCTGTGGAAGGCCTCACTTTTCTCTCCGGTATGCGTGGCCTGTTGCTGGAGGATTCCTGAGCAAGCCAGGGAGTCCTTCCCAACCTTTCGGCAGGGAACGGGCTTCTCGGGTATCTGGAATTGGGAGCTGCTGAGGACCGAGCCTCTGACAACACTGCTTCTAAGGCACTTCTCTCTGATGTGCTGCAGCTGGTGTTGCTGAAGGTACGCAGTGAACGGCGATCGCTTCCCACGTGCCCCATTGACGTGCAGCTTCTGCCTGTGATGCTGGTGCCCAACCAAGAGCAAAATGTCTCTCAAAACCGGGCCACATATCTCACAGGGATGCGCCTTCTGGGGAGAACTGGCCGTGGCAGTCCTACGCTCTGACGCTCTTCGCACAGACGCACTCTGCTGAAAGGGAGCCTCCGCACCCTCTGCTCCACACCAGCAACCTGCAAGGAAACGCTGGTGAACTGACGCTGATGCTGGTGGAAGGGCACGGCTCAGACCAGGACCCGAGTCCACGGGGTTGTTTCCAAAATCAGGAAATCGGGTCTAGGCTGAGGCTGGGGCCTCCTAGCAGAACTGGCCTCTTTAGATCAGAGTATGAAAGAGACCTCACGAATGAAGGTGCGAGGCCGGCGCCATGGCACAGTAGGTTAATCCTCCGCCTGCGGCGCCGGCATCCCATGTGGGCACCAGTTCTAGTCCCAGCTGCTCCTCTTCTGATCCAGCTCTCTGCTATGGCCTGGGAAAGCAGCAGAAAATGGCCCAAGTCCTTGGGCCCCTGCACTGCGTGGGAGACCCAGAGGAAGCTCCTGGCTCCTACTTCGGATCAGCGAAGCTCCAGCTGTTACGGCCATTTGGGGAGTGAACCAACGGAAAGAAGACCTTTCTCTCTGTCTCTCCCTCTCATTGTCTATAACTCTACCTCTCAAATAAAATAAATAAAATATTTTTTAAAAGTCAATAAAAGTTGGCCGGCGCCACGGCTCACTAGGCTAATCCTCCGTCTAGCGGCGCCGGCACACCGGGTTCTAGTCCCAGTCAGGGTGCCGGATTCTGTTCCGGTTGCCCCTCTTCCAGGCCAGCTCTCTGCTGTGGCCAGGGAGTGCAGTGGAGGATGGCCCAGGTGCTTGGGCCCTGCACCCCATGGGAGACCAGGAAAAGCACCTGGCTCCTGGCTCCTGCCATCGGATCAGCGCTGTGCGCCGGCCGCAGCGCGCCAGCCGTGGTGGCCATTGGAGGGTGAACCAACGGCAAAGGAAGACCTTTCTCTCTCTGTCTCTCTCTCTCACTGTCCACTCTGCCTGTCAAAAAAAAAAAAAAAAAGTCAATAAAAGCATATTAAAAAAAAAAATGAAGGTGCAACCATGGGATGCAACACAGGGAGAGAGGCGGATCTACAATCCATTCTCTAGGACAACTTTTAGCAGGATCTCGTCTTCTGACATGTGCATGCCACAGAAGAATGTCCCCAGGCCCAGGAATATACGAGAGCAAAGGAGCAGATGGCCTCCAACAACTGTTTTAGAATGGTCCACAGGGCTGGCACTGTGGCACAGCGGGCAAAACCACAGCCTTTGGTGCCAGCATCCCATATGGGTGCCAGTTTGAGTCCCAGGTGCTCCATTGCTGATCCAGCTCTCTGCTATGGCCTGGGAAAGCAGCAGAAGATGGCCCAAGTCCTTGGGCCCCTGCATCTGCGTGGGAGACCCAGAAGAATCTCCTGGCTCCTGGCTTCAGATTGGCCCAGCTCCAGCCTTTGCGGCCATCTGGGGAGTGAACCAGCAAATGGAAGACCTCTCTCTCTACCTCTGCTTCTCAAATAAATAAATAAATATTAAAAAAAAAAATGGTCCACAGCTCATGACACAATATGGAAAGGGCAATACAGGACAGCACTACAGGTGGACCAGTGAGAGGAACGGGTGAGACGTGGGATGTACACAGATGTGGGAGGTAACCCTGGACTAGACAGAAGAGTAGACATGACAAGCAGAATGGAGAAATTGGAAAACTATCCGGTGAGGAAGGAAAGGCAGTAATGAGGTGTGGCTATCACTGTCCTTGACACCAAACATGTTTTTGGTGTGATCCGAATAAGCCCTGGCATCATGCCTCTGTCTGATGCCACTCCTCGGAGTCAGGCTCCCTCTGAGCCCGCTTTTCTGTGGCGGAATCTCAGAGCCATCCTATGAACCAACAAGGGCTGCCACCCCAATCCCTCAAGTGAGAACTATGTGGCACTTGGAATACGCAAGCACCCACAACCAACGCACGACAGCTCAGCACAGGACAGCCCACAGGAAACAAAACTATGGCAAAGCAAACTTCAGAGGCAGGCATTAGAGGGACAGTCCACGGTCTGTGCGAGTGGTGACTGTGTCAGCGGCAGAGGCAGGCAGGAGGGAATGTCAGCCACATGCAGGACGCAGTCCCCGGGACACACAGGTACCTTGCATCTGAACAAAGTCACCTGGCCAGGGAGAGGCAAACAAGGTGAGATCCGTGAGGCAACCGACAAGACCTGTGACCCATTCCTCAGTCCTGTCAACCACAGCCCCTCCCGGAGGCAGGGGCAGGGGCTGTACCACGGCCCTGAGGTGAGGACAACCTGCCCCGGAGACACAGGAAGTGCAGGGACGAGCTGAGGGCGCTGTGTGGTGCACGCATCTTACCTAGGGAGGTTATAAGTGCTAAATTCTCCAGCATCACATCGTGGTACAGCCGCTTCTGAGCCTCCCCAAGGAGACCCCATTCCTCCCAGGAGAAGTACACGGTCACATCTTCAAAAGTCACAGTGCCCTGCCGGGATGGGGACAGATGAAACCACACGGCTCCTGTCCTGCGGTCTCCAGGTTCATTTCCCCCTCCTCTTTTCCTATCTGCCCTTCACCCAAGCTCCCAACTCAGAGAAGAAACCAGGAGATGGGTGCCGTTGTCTCCTTAGGGACCCAGAGCCACCAGTAACAGGAGGCAGTTGGACAAACACCCATCTAGGTTGTGGCCTGGCAGAGAGAAATCCAGGGTAGTCTCTGTATGACGGGACTGGAGCCAGCAGGCACACCCCTTCTCCAGCTACCTGTCATTCCTTAGGCCGCACGCCCCTCGTACCTCCAGGTCACACAGCCACGTGAGCAAACCACCACCATCCCAATGGCCCCACCTCAGGCAGCTTCCCACGTGCCGCTTGGGTGTTAATCAGCTCCTCTCCACCACGTGAAACCATGGATGGCCTAAGGCTATGGTAACAACCAAACACATAACACTACTCCTGGGCAGATGAGAGACTAAGAGCAGTGATTAGACACATCTACTCATAGCCTGGGAGAGGACACCACACTCCAGCAGGGCCACGTGGAAGCAGCACTCCAGAAAGAGTGAGCAACTCGAGACTGTGAAGATGTAAGCTTCATAACCAGGGTTATAACCAGGACCCCCGGTTCCTGCCGAGGATGGGATGAGCTTGTTTTCATAATGCTAAGACGTAGGGAAATAAACCCTGCTACAAAATAATAAGCAAAAACTTCTCTGGTTCCCTTGACAAGGGGAGTTCATTTGGCTAAGAGAGCAGATCCACAGGAGGAGAACGTGAGGGGCACTTGCTCAGGCTATCTGAGGCCACACTGTTCACCAGACGTCAAGGCAGCACGTAATACCGAGCCTTAATCTTAGGCCTCACATCACATCTTGGCAGGCAGCAACTGGAATACATTCGGCAGATTCAAACCGGGTTCAGTGTTATCTCAGCCTTTCCATCAACTGCACTGGAGACAGCAGCCCGAAAACCTTGTGTACAGGCCTCCCTCTCGGGCACCATTCCTCGTCTCAAACTTAGCCTCCTGGAACCAAGCGTGGGCAGCCTCTGAGGTCTAGCCGCACCAGCCTGAACACGCCTCAGCTCCGACGATCGCCAGCATCGGAGCCAATTAGTACTTGGGTGGGAGAACTGGGTGTGCGCCGCACAGTCCTTTGGTCCTATTCGGATTTTGTGCCGCACGTGCTGTCCCCTCAACAGTCAGAACCTTCCTCCACCAACCCCATGCCTCCTGACTCTCATAGATGACCACATTTGACCCTGACCTTATGCTCCAGCCTGAACGAAACACCCCAGATCCCATCAAGGTCTTCTCATGCTCCTGTGAATCCACAGTGCTGGTTTAGCACCCGCTCCGGCCTCAACTACTCTTATGCCTCTACGTTCATCTCATGTCCACCCTTCTCTCGGGAGGCCCAGGCTGTCCTGTCTTTTACACACCCTCCCTCCGTGGCCACGTCCTCAGTCACCTGCATTTGACAGTCAACACTACAACCCAAGTACCCAGCAGAGACCCAGTCCACAGCCCGTGTCCACGTCTTGGTCTACTGATAGCTCCACAACCATGCCCCCCAAATGCCACCGACATCGATCCACACAGCAGCCACAACATTTTGCCCACTTAACACCTCCACCAAGTAGGCCCTGAAAGGCCTCAGACTTCAGCATGGCCAAAAATTCCCCTCCTGATATCCCCAGGGAACACGACTCCTACCACCAACTTGGTCATCTCAGCTCACAGAGTGTTTGTCCCCAGAGCCGCCCGGTATCAAAGGCCAGAGGTCATCCTGCAGCCTAGGGCACTCCCTTGCTGTCCACATTGGCAACTCGGCTGCCTCCTCTCAAAACGCGTTCGCAGAAACCAACCACATCTCCCAGACCGCGCCTCTGAGACCGTGGCCGTCGCCTCCACTCTGATTTTTCCTCCTCCCCCAACCCTACCCTCTGTTCCCTGTCAAAGCCTCGTCAGGCACCTCGGCTTCCACCCAGACTTCCTACAACCTGCAGAATGGACAAGCATCTCTGGGATTTGCCATCTTGACTTCCGCTGCCACCAGAAAGCGAGGCGACCTCTGGTTTCCTAAACATTCCCCCGTCCACATCAACCCTAAGCACCTGCGCTTGTGTCTTGCCGGGAGCACCTCCAGCACCTCCAGCGAGCTTTCTGCGGGGTCCCAGGAAACAAGGACTGCAGGAAAGGAACGCACAAGTCCCAGGAGCCCAACCCCGAGAGCGTGCAGGAGTCGAGCCCAAGAAGAGACGGGAACCCGCTGGCTCGTTTCTGCAGGCCTCGGGGCCCTACCGGAGTCACAGAATCGGGGCCTTGGAAGAATGGGTGTCCCCGGGCCCCGGCCTGGCCCCGCAGCCTGGGAACTTCAGGCTGGCCGTTCACCCACGGTGCCTCGGGGCTCCGTGTCCTCTGTCAGTCAGCTGTCCCTCGGGCGGTCACCCTCTGCCACATCCAGTCTCAGGGCTGTCAGGAACGGGGACCCCAGCCTCGCTGACCCAGACACGGGGCCTGGGCTGCAGGGACGGGGGCGGGTGCTCCTCACTCCGAGCTGTAGGTCCCGGCAGGGTGAGCGCGGGCGAGGTGCAGAGGACTAGCACTTACCTGAGCTGGGTCCCTCTGCGCGGCAGGCGCCATCGGACTTCGGGAGCCGAGCCGCGACTCCTAACCCGGCCCTGGCGCGGTCACCCAGGCGGCGTCGCCGACCCTCAGATCCGCCTCGCTTGCCTCTCTGGCCGGGACACCTCGGCCAGGACCCGGTGTCCAGGAGCCTCTAACCCAGAGAGCACATCTCATAAAAGCCAAAACGACCGCCACCAGGTCGCCGGAAATCCCGCCCCGACCTGGCGCACATTCTGACACCCCATTGGCTCATCGTCGTTGTCGCCGACGCAGGGCATTCTGGGTAGTGTAGTTCCCACTCTCCACAGCCGACGCGCTGGGGCGCTCTGCGCCCACCTCCGTGACTAAAGGCCTCACTCCACCGCGCCGGGTGCTGGGGTCTCCAGGTCCTAGAGCGGGGGAGGGACCTCGCTCTTTGTTGAAGGAGCCTTCTGTGGTCTTCAACTATCTACTCAAGTGTTTGTACATATATTCTCTCTCTCTCTCTCTCTCTCTCTCTCTATATATATATATTGCTCCCAAAGGTCACGTGCATTACACTGTTATTCAGTCACACATGTGACCAGTGGTGGAGAAAGCAAATAAAAATGGTCGTGCTGCAATTAGAACAGATGTGCCCTGCAGCACTAGGCAGCTTCCTCAGTCTCTATTCCCATGTTCAGTCAGATAGCAGGCGTGGCAAGGAAGGCGGAGGGCGAAGCCGAGGCTCTCTGCGGCAACGCTCTGTTCCCACAGAAAATACTTCTGCAGGGATAGTGAACTCTCGTGTCCAAGGGCTGAGCAACACTTCCACACGTACTCTTTCTCCGTTTCCTCATGTTAGCTTCCTTTATGGAATCTGGTATCTCAAAAACAACAAAGAAACGCTATTTCAATAAAAACAGTCGGTGAGAGCGCTCACAGGCGGAGCGTGCAGGCACTGGTGCTGTCAGCCCAGAAATAGGAGGGGGATCTCACACCCGGGGTCTCTTCTCCTTGCCAGGAACTGGTTATCACATCCCATGATTGCAGGGATTGCTCTGCAAGAGGCACTGACACTTAGAGAAACCAAAGTAAAATTGAAGTTACAGGGAGTTGTTAGGTTGTCTATGTAGTGCTTCAAAACTGGTGGCAGAAATGTGTCTGAGAACTACCACTTGATGGTGAAAAAAGTGAACCTCTAAAGAGAACCCATATCTGATAAATTGATAGCAGAATTGGCTGAGCATGTGAGAAGTCACACAGTCTGTGGCAGCCTGGGCAGACTAACACAGCAGTCTTGTATGGTAGGATTTCCTGGAGTTGGCAGTCTTGTGTGTTAGGGTCTTGGAGAGGCTGGGTGTGGCTCTTGCCTTGAGGCCACGGGAAGGGACCCTGAGGGTCCCTCAGTGCCGGAGGAATTGTGAATCTCTGGCATTCTGGCAAGTCCTTTGTCCTGCTGCCAAGTGGGCCCTCCTCACTGCACTACTCAGGTAACCCCTTCTTCAATTCACTATCCAGCTGCTGAGCTTTCCCAACCCCTAATACACTCCTCCTGTTCTAATATAATCATCTGTCCTGATTTTTTAAATTTCAACTAAGAAAACTAGAAAGAAATAAAAAAAATCAGAAGACCTGGATCTGGCTTCAGTTCAACCTCAAGTTAGACCTAATCTTTTTCTTTAACAGCTTGATTGAGATTTAATTCATATACCACCAACTTCACTTTTAAAATTTCCATTACCCCCCAAAAGAAATCCAAAATCCACAATCCACTAGCTGAACCCTGCCCCCCTTTCTCTCCTCCAGTTCGTGGAACGGATAACTGACTGTCTGCATCTATAGGCTTGCCTATTCTGTGCATGTCATACAAATGGAGTCAAATAGGCCGGCGCCGCGGCTCACTAGGCTAATCTTCCACCTTGCGGTGCCGGCACACCAGGTTCTAGTCTTGGTCGGGGTGCCAGATTCTGTCCCGGTTGCCCCTCTTCCAGGCCAGCTCTCTGCTGTGGCCAGGGAGTGCAGTGGAGGATGGCCCAAGTCCTGGGCCCTGTACCCGCATGGGAGACCAGGAGAAGTACCTGGCTCTTGACATCGATCAGCACAGTGCGCCGGCCACAGTGCGCCGGCCGCGGCGGCCATTGGAGGGTGAACCAACAGCAAAGGAAGATCTTTCTCTCTGTCTCTCTCTCTCTCACTGTCCACTCTGCCTGTCAAAAAAAAAAAAAAAAAACACACACACACACACACAAAAACACAAATGGAGTCAAATAGTGCGTGTCTGCTTCTTACACTTGGCACATCTCCAAGGTCCACTTTTGTTGCAACATGCATCAGTACTTCGTTCTTTATCTAGTGCTGAAAAATATCTCAGTGTACGGGTACACTACATTTCATCTATCCACTCCGGTTGATGCACGTGTGGGTGCTTTCTACCTTTCAAGTCTTATGGATACTGCTGCTATGAACATTTGTGTGCAGTTTTTTTATGGATATGTGTTTTCAATTCTCTTGAAATATACCTAGGAGTAGAATGGCTGGGCCATGTAGTAACTTCATGTGTAGCTTTCTGAGAAGCAATCAGACTCTTTTCCATAGCAATGGTCCCACTTATACTAAATCTTGTTCTGCATTCTCAGAGCCCTTGGCCGTTCTCAGCTTTTGGCACTCACTGTCCTTGGTTAATTCACTGTCCCCTGCCTGCCAGCCTGCTCTTCTCAACAGAGCGGGAGCCTCACAGGGATGAGTGTCTCAATCTGACGTCATGTTTGTTGTGACTTCTTCAGTTTCCTTATGTGAAAGTGGAGACAAACTACTGGAGTTGATAGGCAATATCACTGGGAAAGTTTTCTTTAATGAAAGTGATTCCCTAGCATGTTCTAGGGGATTGTCCAAAGAAATTGTGTGTATTTCCAGTCATGAGCAAGAAATGAAGTCTTGGCAGTGCTGTGGTATAGTAGGTTAAGCCTCCACCTGTGGCGCCAGCATTCCATATGGATGCTGGTTCGAGTCCTGGCTGCTTCATTTCCAATCCAGCTCTCTGCTCTTGGCCTGTGAAAGCAGTGGAAGATGGCCCCAGGGCTTGGGCCCCTGCACCCGCATGGGTGACCCAGAAGAAGCTCCTAGCTCCTGGCTTCAGCTTGGCCCAGTTCTGGCTATTGTGGCCATCTGTGGAATGAACAAGCAGATGGAAGATCTATCTGTCTCTCCCTCTGTTTGTAACTCTGCCTTTCAAATAAATAAATAAATAAAATCTTTTTTTAAGTCTTGAGTGTTTTTTCTTTTAAAGATTTATTTATTTATTTGAAAATCAGAGTTACACAGAGAGAGGAGAGGCAGAAAGAGAGAGAAAGAGAGAGAGAGAGAGAGAGAGAGAGAGAGAGGTCTTCCATCTGATGGTTCACTCCCCGATTGGCCGCAACGGCTGCAGCTGCACCGATCAGAAGCCAGGAGCCAGGAGCTTCTTTTGGGTCTCCCACATGGGTGCAGGGGCCCAAGCACTTGGGTCATCTTCTACTGCTTTCCCAGGCCACAGCAGAGAGCTGAACTGGAAGTGGAGCAGCCAGGACTAGAACAAGCGTCCATATGGGATGCTGGTGCTGCAGGCCAGGATGTTAACCTGCTGCACCACAGCACCAGCCCCAATAAATAAAATCTTTAAAGGGGGGGGGGAATCTTGACAATTTTTCTTTCACACTTAAATTTTTTTCTTATTTTCCAATTAAGTCATAATTATTCATGATTTGCAAGAGCTAAGAAACAAGAATTCCTGTGTCACATGAATTTATTCTATTGAATATGTCCAGCATCCTTTCTTTAGAGCGCTGCTCTACAAAGTTCCTGGGAGCAGTCACGCTCAGGTTCGCCGTCGCTTGTCATCCCTGTGCCTTCTCTGCGTCGGCTAGCACCTCCTGCAGCTCTTTCGTTTCCTTTCAGAAATTTCCAATTTGTGAATTCTGCATAGCCTTCCTTGTTATATTGTCTTTTACTACCTTTTGCTCTTCTCTCAATTTCTTCTTTTCAAAATTTTCCTTTCGTTTTGCTCTAATAACTAAAATACAGAAACAATGTTATTGAGAAACTAATAAATGAGGAAGAGGAATGGAGATAAAGGAGATGAGAGAAAAAAGTATGGAAAATTTAAGCACAAACAATGAAATTTCCAGGGGATTATGGGTGTTATTCATCAGATAGAATGGTGAAAATTGAATTTCAAAAATTATTTTCCCACTTTCTATAGTCAGCCTTTTAAATATCCAGTTTAAAATGCAGAAAAGGGGCCAGCATGGTGGTGTAGTAGGCCAAGCCTCTGCCTGCAGCGCCAGCATCCCATATAGGCACCGGGTTCATGTCCTGGCTGCTCCTCTTCAGATCCAGCTCTCTGCCTATGGTCTGGGAAAGCAGTGGAAGATGGTCCAAGTGTTTGGGCCCTTGTACCCATGTGGGAGGCCTGGAAGAAGCTCCTCACTTCTGGCTTCAGATCGGCCCAGTTCCGGCCATTGAGGCCATTTGGGGAGTGAACCAGCGGATGGAATTCTGTCTCTCCCTCTGCCTATAACTCTGTCTCTCAAATAAACAAAATCTTTTCTTAAAAATGCAGGAAAGTTGTCATCCAATTTAACAAAAAGACATCAAAAATATTTCCCATAGGTTACAAGGGCTGCTTACCTCAGTAAGCATCGATGATCTTTTCTACTCCTGGCTTCTAGCCTCTTTCTGGGTATCTGTGCATGGAGCCGTGAGAGAGGAAACCCATGCAGGGGTGGTGGGTATGACTGAATGTGTGTGACGAACTCTACATGTTTTTGCTGGAGGAATTTCCAAATGGGTGCCCAAGACTCTCAGGATGTTGACAAAGTCGGATTTTTTGTGCGTAACTCTGTAGGTCACCATCTCCTCACAGGCAGACACAGAATACATCAGTGACCAGGGTTTCTCACACAGGAATCATCACCCAGGGGAAGTAGCTTATGTCTATTGGCCTGGAAACTATTCCTACATCAGACTGAGGAAAACAGTGCAAGAGACCGCTTGCCTGTCTGTTGTCTAAACATAAGAACTGCACCTTAATAAGCACGATTACAAAAACTGTCCTGGAAAATGTTTGTCTCCCGAACTCTGATTTTGATCCTTGAATTTCCCTGCTAAAGGAACCAAGCGATGACACAGCTCTTTGCCCCTCTGTACAATTCTCATAGGTATGGACATAAACACTCACCTTCCTTACCTCAGACTCTATCAGCTCCCACTTATCTTTGCCTTTGAAAACCCAACCATCATTGCCAGCCTAGGTTTCTTCCGGCAAGTCAAACTACTGGATCCTCTACCTGAATGAATGAACTTCCCCAGTTCCTTCTCATTCTCTGGAAGCAGGTGAGTGGACTCATCCTGGCGGGCGTCGTCCTCAGAGCCCTCCTCTTCCTCTAAGAACGAGATCTTGACGTTTTCATAAAGCAGCGCGAGTTGCTGGCTTTCCTCGGCTTTGACTAGTCTACTGGAGAATGACAGAAGCGAATTCAGAAGCACAGCTTTCACGCTGACTCATCATGTCTTAATCACGTGAGGAAGGCAGAAACAGATTATAATCCAGACTACTCACAGTAGCATCTCAGATTTCTGAGGTGAGAAATGCCACTTTCTGGAGTAAGGAGTAATTATGATAACCCAAAGCATGGGACAAAGTCAGGACTAGGAGCGAATCAAGTACCTGACTTGGATATAAAACTTTAGGAGATAACCAAAAATCTCCATAATCAAGAAAAATCATATTTAAATGCCATATTTTACAACATAAAATTAATGTTAAGAAATCCATGATAAATCAAAAAGTCAACATTTTAAATAAAGAAGGGATGGGTATTACTGATTTTTCCTTTTGCTCAGGCTCCTGTAAGGCTTGGTTCAGCACTGCTGCTAATCCTATATTTTTTTATTTTTATTTTTATTTTACAGGCAGAGTGGACAGTGAGAGAGACAGAGAGAAAGGTCTTCCTTTGTCGTTGGTTCACCCTCCAATGGCCGCCGTGGCCGGCGCGCTGCAGCCGGCGCACTGCACTGATCCGAAAGCAGGAGCCAGGAGCTTCTCCTGGTCTCCCATGGGGTGCAGGGCCCAAGTACTTGGGCCATCCTCCATTGCACTCCCGGGTCACAGCAGAGAGCTGGCCTGGAAGAGAGGCAACCAGGACAGAATCCGGCACCCCCACCGGGACTAGAACCCGGTGCGCCAGCACCACTAGGCAGAGGAGCTAATCCTATATTTAAAACTGATACATTTTTGGCATTAATCCAAATTTAAAAAAAAAATACTACATCTGGGGCTGGTGTTGTTGTACAGTCAGGTAAGCCACAGCCTATCATGCCAGCATCTCACATGAGCGCTAGTTGAAGTCCAACTCAACTACTTTTGATCCAGCTCCCTACTAATTAATGTGTCTGGGAAAACAGCAGAAGATAGCCCAAGTGCTTGGGCCCCTGCTACCCATGTGGGAGATCTGGATGGAGCTCCAGGCTCCCAGGTTTGGCTTGGCCTAACCTCAGCCATTCTGGCCATTTGGGGAGTGAACCAGTGCATTCTCTCTCTTTCTCTCTCCCTCTCTCTCTCTCTCTCCCGTTTGTAACATTTTAAATAAATAAATACTTTTTTAGAATACTACATTAAAATGTTATTTATCAGGGCTGGCACTGTGGTGTAGCAGGTGAAGCCACTGCCTGCTGTGCTGGTGACCCATATAGGTGTAGGTTTGACTCCTGGCCACTCCACTCTCAATCCAGCTCTCTGCTAATGCACCTGGGAAAGCTGCTGAATATGGCCCAAGCGCTTGGGTCCCTGCCATCCATGTGGGAGACCCGGGTGAAGCTCCTGGCTCCTGGCTTCAGCCTGGCCCAGCTCTGGCTGTTGCAGCCATTTGGGGAGTGAACCAGCAGATGGATTTCTCTCCCTGTCTCTCCCTATCTCTCTCTAACTCTGTCTCTCAAATAAATAACTAAACCTTTTTTAAATGTTATTTATTCTGATTACTGAGTTTTTTTTGCACCCCCTTAAATTTTACACCACAGGCAAATGCCTCAGTCACCTTCCCATGAGCCCAGCCCTGGAAGGAGCTCCTTGGCTCATTGTGTATCTGTGTTTATGTGCTACTGGATGACAGCGTGTGTTACTTTTTCCTAACATAAAAACTGTCCTAGGTCTGTGTGACGTAGGTAATAAAAGCACTTTGAGGGTTAGCAATGGTGGAGGGAGGGTGAGAGCGGCACTCCAGAGGCACACTGTCAGGCCACAATCACTGGCCTGGTCATAAACATATCAAACACAATCAAACAGGGCAAGAAGAGTGAAGTCCTCATCTCAGGCATACAACTTAAGAGAATACCAAAAACCCAGGAGGAAAGCCAATGTTTTAACTTGTATTTTCAAAAATTGGATGCGGGCACGTGTTTGGCCTTGCACTTAGGACACCTGGGACACCTGCATCCCATGGTGGAGTGCCCGAGCTAGAGCCCCAGCTCTGCTCCCGGTTCCAGACTCCTGCTAATGCAGGCCCTGCGGGGCAGCAGGTGATGACTCACTCCTATGGCCTGGACGCAGTTCCAGGCTCCTGGCCTTTGACCCTGGCCAGGATTCATCGCTTGCATCTGGGAGTGAAATAGTGGATGGGCGGGGCCAGCACTGTGGCATAGCAGGTAAAGCCAATGCCTGCAGTGCCGGCATCCCATTTGGGCACTGGTTCGAGTCCCAGCTGCTCCACTTCCAATCCAGCTCTCTGCTATGGCCTGGGAAGGCAGTAGAGGATGCCCCGAGACCTTGGGCCCCTGCACCCGTGTGGGAGACCCGGAAGAAGCTCCTGGCCCTGGCTTTGGATCAGCACAGCTCTGGCCATTGCGGCCAGCTGAAGAATGAACCAGTGAATGGAAGAACTCTCTCTCTCTCTGCCTCTCCTTCTCTCTGTGTGTAACTCTGACTTTCAAATGAATAAATGAATCTTTAAAAAAAATAGTGGATGGGAACATTCTCTCTCTCTCTCTCTCTCTCTGCTTCTCAAGTAAACAAATTTTGAAAATTGAAATTAATGTTAAAAATCCATGATAAAACAAATATTGAAATTTTAAATAAAGGCAGGATCCAACAGTGCCACGCTGAACCATGGGGGAGCCTGACTCATAAGGAAAAATGTGTCTTTATATACATGGTGGACATATTTTTAGTGATTATTCTTTTACAAAATACCAAAGAAGTTAAAATATATTTAAAAATTAAAAGCTGTTGAATGAAAAATTATGGTATTATTTTAAGTTTAAATATTTTATCTATACCAAAACCTGAATTAATTATAATTTTACTTTCCTGGTTTAAATGAAAACAACCCCACTAACAATATTGTAAAAAACCTACTTCTGGAAAAAAAATCACTAAAAATTACATAAGAACATGTATCTGGGACATATGTTTTGCCTTGTTCCTCAGCCTCAGTGAGGTAGCACTAAATGGGTTAACACAAATGTGACAGCCATAGAATTTATTTTAGCTCAAGAACTTAATTGAGCACTAAAAAGTCCAGGAGATGTGTCTTTTTTTTAATACTTGTATTTATTTATTTATTTATTTTTGACAGGCAGAGTGGACAGTGAGAGAGACAGAGAGAAAGGTCTTCCTTTTCCGTTGGTTCACCCCCCAATGGCAGCTGCGGCCGGTACACCGCGCTGATCCGAAGCCAGGTGCCAGGTGTTTCTCCTGGTCTCCCATGTGGGTGCAGGGCCCAAGGACTTGGACCATCCTGCACTGCACTCCTGGGCCACAGCAGAGAGCTGGACAGGAAAAGGAGCGACAGGGACAGAATCCGGTGCCCCGACCAGGACTAGAACCCGGGGTGCCAGCGCCGCAGGCGGAGGATTAGCCTATTGAGCCATGGCGCCAGCCCCAGGAGATGTGTCTTATGATTTAACTTTCATTTTTTAACATCTTTATAATAACGAAACACACATAAACTGCAGTTAGATAAATTAAGTCAATGTAGATTACATTAGATCACCCAGAACCAACATCCAGCTCCCACTCTCTCTCATGCAAGCATTCTTCCATTTTATATTTAATGTCATTTTGCCTTTCTTCAGCGTAGTTCAAGGTGATCTTAAAGTGGCTACCTTAAAAATATTCCATACATGGTAAGGTATCCCTTGTTTTTGCACCTAGTTGTAACGGAGCAAATGCAGTTTCTGAGGGGTGTAATGGAATCTCAGGACTGAATCCTGGAGTAGGGATCACAATGTGTTGGCCCTGGCCACTTGCCCACTGCTAATGTCAGAATGTTCTCTTCACTTGAAGGAGTAGGACCCTGAGTTTTATTTGTGCAAACATACTGAAGTATCTTCCCAAAAGCTGCTACTACCCAAGACTGCATCCACAAGTTTCTAGTGACAGAGGGGTCAGCCTTTCTGCTTTGCATTCATAAGATTCCTTCCAAAATATCAAGATCATTTTACAATACTGTAAAAAATATATTTTACTTCACAAACGTGTCTGTCTAAAAGGCTTAAAAATCAACCTTTAGTTTAATACATTTAAAGTACTCCAATATTTTCTATTTTGCTAAATTATATTCTGTCCCTTTTTCATTTATATCATCACCTAACATAAGTACAATCCACATTTTGAAAAAGTGGTCTACAAATTTATAAGGAAATGATTTCATGATTATAAGAATTATCATCATCATTATCTGATATAATCATCATCTTTGGCACTCAATAATAACCTTGCTAATTTGTCATGTCTTATCTAAGGATAGTGGATGTTATTTATCACACACTTACTATATCACATAGGAGATTGCAATCCCACACGTCACAGCAATGCCGAAGGCTATACATGCAATTAAAATGACTTGAACAAGAGCAGGTCTATGTGGAATTATTGCTAAAAATGGATAGAAAAGAACTTCTAAAAAATTTCAATTTAGCTGTGAATCTTAGTTAACACATTTGTTAATCATGTTGTTATTATAAAGGGGAATAGGAGACGAAATCAGAAATACCTTTAAAATGGCATTCTTAGCCAGCGCCGCAGCTCACTAGGCTAATCCTCCGCCTTGCGGCGCCGGCACACCGGGTTCTAGTCCCGGTCAGGGCGCCAGATTCTGTCCCGGTTGCCCCTCTTCCAGGCCAGCTCTCTGCTGTGGCCAGGGAGTGCAGTGGAGGATGGCCCAAGTCCTTGGGCCCTGCACCCCTTGGGAGACCAGGATAAGTACCTGGCTCCTGCCATCAGATCAGCGCGGTGCGCCAGCCACAGCGCACCAGCCGTGGTGGCCATTGGAGGGTGAACCAACGGCAAAAGGAAGACCTTTCTCTCTGTCTCTCTCTCTCACTGTCCACTCTGCCTGTCAAAAAAGAAAAAAAAATGGCATTCTTAATTTTAAAAAATACTGAGTCTAGAGGCCAGCACTATGGCATAGCAGGTAAAGCCACCGCCTGCAGTGCCAGCATCCAATATGGTCACCGGTTCAAATCCCGGCTGCTCCACTTCCAATCCAGCTCTGCTATGCCCCCAAGAAAGCAGTAGAAGATGGCCCAAATCCTTGGGCCCTCACACCCACATGGGAGACCCAGAAGAAGCTCCTGACTCCTCGCTTTGGATTGGCTCAGCTCCAGCCTTTGTGGCCATTTGGGGAGTGAACCAACGGATGGAAGACCTCTCTCTCTCTCTCTCTCTCTGCCTCTCCTTCTCTTCCTCTGTAACTTAAGACCTTTCTCTCTATCTCTCCCTCTCACTGTCTATAACTCTACTTCTCAAATAAAATCTTTTAAAAAAAATAAATCTTTAAAAAACCCCTGAGTCTAGATCGCACAGCCCGTGTGAACAAACATAATTTGAATCCCCAACAATCCCTGACTCCCTTGTTTGTCCACCATGTCCTTGGCCAAAGTTCTCTCTTTGCTCTGAGGGATCCCAGGCCCCTGACTCAGAACAGCAATGCCTGCCATCCATGTGCCTGAGGGACGTGGCCTGTTCTCACGACTCGAGAGGGGCATGGTGGGCTCCTGTTGTGCGGTGCTGTCATGGAAGGGTATCACAGGGCAATTCAGGATGGAATTCCATGGACCTGTATTCCAAGTGTCACTTCTTAGGGCTAAAGAATGTGCCATAAAACCATAGTTGTTCTTTGTAGGCTCTGGTGTATCAGTCTTCTTTGCTAGACCTGAAACTAAAAATAAAAATAAATAAATAAATAAATAAACCCACAGCATTACTGTTTGTACAAATTGAACAGAAGAGCAATTGGATTACTCAGGCACTTAGATTAAAAATAAATACAAAACAAAAACAAATCCACCAGACTGAGGTGGCTGCTCCTTGTCCCACATTGGGTCTTCCTCACTTTCTGTCCCGTCACTGACACAGGACGAAGAGCTCAGCTGACGCAGAGAATAATGCCAAGGTTCGCACCTCAGTGGAACCTGAGCTTCATGTGACAAAAATACCTTGGACAACGAAAAAGCTGGGAGAGTTCTTGTAGACTGTGGATGTTCACTCTACAGTTCTGTCAACTTTTTTGCATGTTTTCAAATTTTCAAAACGAAATACTGTGAAAGAGAAAAAAATATGGGCAACAGACTATGAAGAACCAGCTATGATGAGAACTGAGAACTGACCACTGGACAGCCGTGGGAGGCTGCTGCAGACACAGGCTGTGTGGCAGGGATGCACCTGACTCAGACTGGGGGCTCAAGAGAGAACCGGAGGACAGGAATTGGAGACAGTGAGGTTTGGAAATCTCTTTGAGAAGCTTTTTTTGGTAAGAGAAACAAACGCAGCTCCTGGAGGTGGAAGTGGTGTTGAGGAGTCAAGTCAGCCATTTTGTTTTTTGTTTTCTTTCATTTGTTAATACTTTTATTTATTTATTTATTCAAAAGACAGAGATCTTCCATCTGTTGGTTCACTCCCCAAATGACTGCCATGGCTGTGCCAGGTCAAAGCCAGGAGCCAGGAGTTCTTCCAGGTCTCCCACGTGGGTGCAGGGGCCCAGGGACTTGGGCTATCTTCCACTGCTTTTCCAGGTGCATTAGCAGAGAGCTGGATCAGAAGTGCAGCAGCTGGGTCTCGAACCAGTGCCCATCTGGGATGCTAGCAGACAGAAGCTTAACTTGCTACACAGTCCAGACATGTTGTTTTCTAAGACAGGAAAATTGACAGCATGTTTGCATGAGAATAGAAATGAGATAGTAAATTGTGATAAGACAACATGAGTCTCTTTGGGCTACTACAACAAAATGCTACACTTGGCAACTTATAAACAACAGAAACTTATTCCTTACAGTTCCAGAGGCTGGGAAGACCCAGATCAAGAGGCCAGCAGAGGGGCCGGCACTGTAGGGCAGCACGTTAACGCCCTGGCCTGAAGTGTCGGCCACCCCATATGCAATCGGGTTCGAGACCTGGCTGCTCCACTTCCCATCCAGCTCTCTGCTATGGCCTGGGAAAGCAGTAGAAGATGGCCCAAGTCCTTGGGCCTCTGCACCTGCGTGGGAGGCCCAGAAGAAGATCCTGGTTCCTGGCTTCAGATCAGCACAGCCAGCCGTTGTGGCCAATTGGGGAGTAAACCATCAGATGGAAGACTTCTCTCCCTCTCCCTGCCTCTCCTCTTTCTGTGTAACTCTGACTTTCAAATAAATACTCTTTAAAAAAATAAAGAGGCCAGCAGAAACATTATGAAATATTTGGCTTTCAACCTGATACTTGAAAACAGGAATTATGGGGTAGCTGCAATGAACATTTTTCATTATGAGTGAGATGTGCATCTTTCCATATCATCAAGAGCTAAAGGCTTAGAGAAAACTGGTGTCTTCCCGAGATCTAACTATGTACATGCCTGCATCCGTCTCCACGCCAGAGCCTACAGCTGGAACCCGAGCCTCTAGTGCGAGCTGGTGTCAAAGGAAGAACCGCAGTGCAAGCCTCCTGATGCCTGGCTAGGACTCCAGCTCCAGCTTCGGCGTTGACTGTGTGAACAGGCAAGTGAGCTTTCGGAAGGTTAGGAACATGCTCGGGATAGATGATTTACCAATCACAGCTTTGATTGTATTTCCTAACACTTTGACAGCTCTGGCCCTACTGTCCCTGAAGAGTCTATCTCTCCCAGGACTAGCTAGTTTCTAAAGGTAGCAAAACACCTGGTGGGGCCAGCCCTGTGCCACAGCCAGTAAGGCCACTGCTGCATCCCACATGGACGCTGCTTAGAGCCCTGGCCACTCCATTTCTGATCAGCTCCCTGCTAATGGCCTGGGAGAAGCAGTGGAAGATCGTCCAAGTGCTTGGATCCTTGCCACGCATGTGGGAGACCTGGATGAACCTCCTGGCTCCTAGCTTCAACCCGGCCCAGCCTTGGCTGGTGCAGCCATCTGGGGAGTGAACCGGCTGGCTAGGAGATCTCTCTGCCTCTCTCTTTGTAACTCTTTCAACTAACTAAATAAATCTTTTAAAAACAACCCAAAATGCTCACCTTAGGAGTATGCTATCATATGCAGTCTAGCCAATCCAGAGCCCTTAATCCTGCAGGCAACCACCCACCAGCCCTAAGGACTCCAGGGCCAGGCCCCTGGCAATCAAATTGTTCAGCCTGTTTGATCAGAAGCCTGACTGCCCTGCTCCCCTTGCCTTTAACAGAGGCTTTTCCCTCATTCTCTGCTCCCCTTGCCTCCCGAACAACCCCAGTGCTTCCCAGTGTGGCCCTGGGCCTGGGGCCTGTGAGCACCCACACTCCTCCTCCCTGTGGTGACTTCTCTGCTTGGAATATGTGTATCTGATTAAGACAAAAATCTGGGTGATTTTGTTTTCTTAATCACAACGGGGATGGAGGAGGGCTGACTCACAGCGGTTGACTCCTGGTAGGCGCTTAGCAAATGTGGAGAGAATGAGAAGGGAGGAGGGAGGAGGGAGGAGGGAGATGAGAGGTGGGGGGGGCAGCAGACATATGGAGGACGCAGAGTCAAGTGGTGTCTAGGGGATTCTGGGAGAGGAGAATATGCTAGAAAGACAAGGCTGTTGTGAGTGACCGGGCATGCTGTGTGCTACTCAAAGGGACCTCAAGTTCAGTCAGGGCTTCGTGGTATGAGATGTTTGCCCCTGCCGCTGGGCTGCTTTCCAATCTGCCCCAGGTGGTGTCACTGATCCAACTGCCTTGAGGGGGCCCCATCTCTAATTTGTCAAAGATGAGACGCAGACTATCCGTGACCACCCTCTGGAACCCAACACAAGAGTTCTGGCAATGTCCATGGATCCCACTAGCTTCTCAGATCCTTTGACTGACTTCTTGTTCCCAGGAATTTTGTGAACTGAGTAGATCTTCCAACTAGAAGGTCGTTGCAAGGGATCAAAAAGACAGAAGTTTAAAATCGATTCAGGAAAATTCAAAAAATAACTTGATATAATTCAAGACAACCTGACCCACAGAATCCAAATATACAAGATGGCAGATGTTTTAGTAAATGGATCCCAACAGCTTTACTAGAAATAGATGATGGGCCGACACTGTGGCGTAGCAGGTAAGGCCACCGCCTGCAGTGCCAGCATCACGTATGGGTGCCAATTCAAGTCCTTGCTGCTCCACTTCCAATCCAGCTCTCTGCTATGGCCTGGGAAAGCAGTGGAAGATGGCCCAAGTCCTTGGGCCCCTGCACCCATGTGGGAGACCTGGAAGAGACTCCTGCCTCCTGGCTTCAGATCGGTGCAGCTCCGGCCATTGCGGCCAACTGAGGAGTGAACCAGCGGATGGAACACTTCTCTCTCTCTCTCTCCCTCTCTCTCCTCTCTCTCTGCCTCTCCTTCTCTATGTAACTCCTTCAAATAAAATAAATAATAAAAAAGAAATAGAAGATTTATTTTGCAAAAGCTCGAAGCTAAGTGCGTCTTGGTGTGAACCTTTAAGAACATAAATACATCTGGTTTCTGGTTTACTTTTGCAGCCACAGAGTCAGGAAAGCTCCCCCAGACTGCGTCAGGAGAGACTGGGGCTGAAGCAGCCATGCTCTCATCAGAGCAGGGACTCAGTGCAGGCGGCGGGCAGCAGCGCTGCCCTTCATCAGGAGAAATCAGACGCTGTCTATCACGGGATAGCCTTTCCCTGGTGTGCGGCTGAGAGGACTCGCCACAAAGCCGCACTGCCCCATCTGAGGATGCAGAGGCTGGTTCCAACACTCAAACTGAGAAGCAAAGCACAGAAGACGGACAGGCGCCTAGGAAGAATGCCCAGGCTGCATCTGCCTCTGGACTTGCGAGCTCCACCACCAGAACATGTGCACCGAAAAGCCACATGGTCCGGGCAGGGTCAAGGTTTTCAGCTGCACTGATTAAAGTGAACTAAAGGAGAAGAAAGAGGCAAACCCTAAAGGGAAAGCAATTTATAGAGCTGAAGAACACGGGGTTTAATTTTCAGCTGATCTAATTATTTGTTTTGTAAATATGCTAACAAATACACAAGACACATTCAAACAGCAGATAAAAAGACCTCAGACTGTAAATTCTCATTTCACTGAAAGAACAATACGAGGACTTACCTGTGGGTCTTGGGAGAGTCCTAGGCGTTCGGATTATTCCATAGTTCAGTTTGGATTGTTTGTTGACAGGGATGGGTGTTTGTGGTGGGTTTTGGCCTTAAAAAGAAAAGTGGTAGCAGTGAAGTAACTACCTGTGCTCTCTTTATGTCCCCTGAAACAGCGTTTTAATTCCCTGAGACAAGTAAGACCAATTGTTGAAGTTACCTGGTAATTCTGTTGTTTTTTCAACTGATTGGAACCCATTGGCATAAGACAAGCATACATGTAGGGGGCATTCCATTAAAAACAAAAACAAAAAAGTGAAAGAGCTTTGAATCTTGCCCATCGTTCTAAAATTGGCTGTCATGTGAACGGAAGGAAACGCTTAGCTGCAGCCCCGCCTCTCCGCCCTCTATTTACTCCAGGAACTAGGAAGCTCTGCTCCTTGCAGAACCTCTGGGGCCTGACTGGAGCTGCCAGTGTGAGGTCAGGTCCTGTCGCTCTGGCAACACGGAATTCAGCCGTGGACCCAGCACGACTGGGGGGGTGGGGCTAAGTGTGTGGGCACAGATGGGAAGGAGACCAGGTCCCTGCCTTCAGAGCATGGATGGAGTAGAGAGGATGCGGAAAGTAACTAATTACTCGGCACGACAGCATAAAAGCCAGCGGAGAAGACAGCAGAGTTAGACTTGGGGAGCAGGGCTCCAAGCGCCAGGATTCCAGCCCCAGCCTCTGTGTCCCAGACTCTGAGCTTGATCAGATGGCACCAGCTTCTGTAGCCGTGTAATGCACGTCTTTCATTTCCTTTTCATATTCTCGGGAACAAAAGCCAGCTAGCTGCTGGGCTTGTGACTAACTAGAGTGTCTGCGCAAGCAAACAGTGCGGGCAGACACCGACTCGGGAAGCCAGCTGAAGTTGCAAAGTAGCCCGGCCCCCCAGCCAGCACGAGCGGAGGGTGGATCCACTGGAGCACCCTGAACAGGCCCGGGAATAGTCAAGGGCACAGGAAGCGGACTCTAGGCTGAGCGGGCTTCATCCTGGTTAATGAAACACTGAAACCTTACCACCTTGCCTCTTTCAGGCCCCAGCCAAACAACATCATGCAGCCGCTTCGCAGTACAGAGCATAGGCGCTCTCCTCACCATACAGTCAGGCCACCAAGCAAGGTTCTCAAGGAACTGCACTGAAGTCTGAGGCTGATGAAACACTATCAGACCCACAGGAGGCTTCAGCACCTGACTGCCCACAGTCGTGTTCTCTGCAGCCCAACCCCCCCTTTGCACTCCTTAAAAGCCCCGCCCATACTCACTGAGTGGGACAGTATGTATTGAGACCCCAGACAGTGCTGCCATCCTCATCCACTGGTTATTCTCTCTCGTTCCTTCACCCTCAGATCTCGTCCTCATTATTCTGATTCAGCAGCAGTGACAAGGATGGGAATTTTGGTAACATTTTCTCATCTGAAAATGCAAGGAAGAAATACCACCCACGTCGTAGGGTCTTAGTGACGATTAAATAATGCAATCCACACAAAGCTAAAAAAAAGACAATAAATATTAGTTTTGTTTAACATAAGAAAGTGTCAGTATTTACAGTAAAGCAACCCTCTGGGGACTTCAGAAACCTAGACCCAAATGGCTGCCTCCAAGTTTCTGTAAAGAAGACTAACTTTATCATCTCGAGATGTGGAAATGGATTGAAAAGCAGATGGCATGCAGAAGGTCTCCAGCCTTTGTCTCTAGTCCTTCTTCCATCTCTAGTTCTCACGTTACCGATCACAATAGATCAGGAGCTCTTCAGATGCTCATACATTTTTTTTTTTTTTGACAGGCAGAGTGGATAGTGTGAGAGAGAGAGACAGAGAGAGAGAAAGGTCTTCCTTTTTGCCATTAGTTCACCCTCCAATGGCCGCCGCGGCCGGCGCAATGCGGCCGGCGCATTGCGCTGATCCGAAGCCAGGAGCCAGGTGCTTTTCCTGGTCTCCCATGCGAGTGCAGGGCCCAAGGACTTGGGCCATCCTCCACTGCACTCCCTGGCCACAGCAGAGAGCTGTCCTGGAAGAGGGGCAACCGGGACAGAATCCGGCGCCCCGACCGGGACTAGAACCTGGTGTGCCGGCGCCGCAGGGCGGAGGATTAGCCTAGTGAGCCGCGGCGCCAGCCAAGATGCTCATACATTTTGCACAGTGGCAAGGCCAGGACCCTCCAGAAATGCTCATGTAGTGGAAGATAGCCGGCCTCTGGCTTTACTCAAACACCATAGACCTCAACCTTGTATTCCTCCTGTGAGTATGCCTAAAGATGACCCTGGTTCTGTGTGTGTGTTCCACCCTCCTCTCGTTTTTTCTTGTCTTTTTGATGGCATAGGGTTTATTAGGATGTGCCTTAATACAGGCACTGGGGTTTGATTAAGCCCAGGTGAGGGCTGGCTTTTTGGCAGAATAGGTTAAGTCACTTCTTGTAACACTTGCATCTCTTTCAGAGTGCTGGTTCAAGTTCAGTTTCCTGCTAATGGGCCCCGCGGAGGCAGCAGATGATGGCTCCAGTTCTTGGGTCCATGCAGTTCATATGGGAGATCCAGACTGAGTGCCTGAATTTGACTTAGCCCAACCCTGGCTGTTGTGGACATTTAGGAGTGAATCATAGAATGGATAATCTGTCTCTCCCTCTCTTTCTCGGTCATTCTGTCTTTAAATAAATAAATAAATAATCATTTTTAAATGGGGTGGATATTGTAGCACAGTGAGTTAAGTTGGTGCTTGGGACTTCCCTACCCCCCATCCCGTATTGGAGTTTGTGGTTCAAGTCCCAGCTATTCCACACTTCTGGTCCAGCTTATGATGGCTCAAATCCTGAGTCCCTTGCCACCCATATGGGAGAACTGGATGGAGTTCTTAGCTCCTGACTTTGACTTGATCCAGCCATGGCTATTTCAGACATTTTGGTAGTGAACTAGCAAATGGAAGACCTTTTTCTTTTTGTTATGCTGCCTTTCAAATTTTTTTCTAAATGAATAAGCAAACATTTTTAATTAATGTATTTATTTTTAAAGGTTTATTTATTTATTTGAAATTCAGAGTTACACAGAGAGAGGAGAGGCAGAGAGAGAGAGAAAGAGAGAGAGGTCTTCCATCCATAGCTTTACTCCCTAGTTGGCGGCAAAGGCTGGAGCCAGGAGCTTCTTCCTTGTCTCCCACGCAGGTGCGGGGCCTAAGGACTTGGGCCATCTTCTACTGCTTTTCCAGACTATAGCAGAGCACTGGATTGGAAGTGGAGCATCCATATGGGGTGCCACAGTGCTTCAGGCCAGGGCGTTAACCCACTGCGCCACAGCACTGGCCCCCAAACATTTTTTTTTGACAGGCAGAGTTAGTCAGTGAGAGAGAGAGAGACTGAAAGAAAGATCTTCCTTCCATTGGTTCACCCCCAAAATGGCTGCTAGGACCGGCGTGCTGTGCTGATCCAAAGCCAGGAGCCAGGTGCTTCTCCTGGTCTCCCATGCAGTGCAGGGCCCAAGCACTTGGGCCATCTTCCACTGCTCTCCCGGGTCACAGCAGAGAGCTGGACTGGAAGAGGAGCAACCGGGACTAGAACCTGACGCCCATATGGGATGCTGGTGCCACAAGCGGAGGATTAGCCAAGTGAGCCATGGCACCTGCCCCTCCCAGATGCTCTGCTAATTCTTACTTTTTAAGAACCACATACATTTTATTTTAAATTTTTATTTTATTTGAAATATAGAGAGGTTCCATCTGCTGATTCACTTCCCCAAATGCCAACAATGGTCAGGGATAGGCCAGGCCAAAGCCATGGGAACTCCATCTTTATCTCCTGTGTGGGTGGCAAGGATCCAAGTGCTTGAGCCATAATTTGCTGCCACCTAAGAAGCACGTTAACAAGAAGCTATATTGGAAACAGAAGATCCAGGACTCAAGCCAGGCACCCTGATATGGAATGCAGGCATCCTAAGCAGCCGTGTAACAGCTGGGTCAAACCCCTATCCCTGCCAACTACTTTTGAGCTGTGACACCAGGAAGTTGACAGCCAGGTAGATGCTGTACACAAGCTCATTGTCTGCTATCCTCACAACACCAGTAGCCACAGTCAGACACAGCACGTTCTTCCCCTGTAACATGATGGTAGGCTCCACCTTGTCAGTGCTGGCCACCATCTTTCCAACGTGTGGAAAAGGGAAGTTGGAAAGGGAATTTGCCACTCTCATATTTTTTAAAGATTTGTTTAATACTTATTTGAAAGTCAGAGTTACACAGAAAGAACGAGAGGCCCAGAGAGAGAGAAGGTGGGGGGGGTGTCTTCCATCCGCTGGTTCACTCCCCAGATGGCTGCAACAGCCAGAGCTGTGCTGATCCGAAGCCAGGAGCCCGGAGCTTCTTCCAGGTCTCCCACACTGATGCAGGGGCCCTAGGACTTGGGCCATCTTCCACTGCTTTTGCAGGCCATAGCAGAGAGCTGGATCAGAAGTGGAGCAGCTGGGACTTGAACTGGCACCCATATGGGATGCCAGTACTGCAGGCCAGGGTGTTAACCCACTGTGCCACAGTGCCGGCCCCACCACTCTTATTTTTTAAAAAGATTTATTTATTCATTTTGAAAGAGTTACAGGGAGAGATACACACAGAGACACTTCTGGTTTACTTCCCAGATGGTTTGCTTCCAACTTCTGGTTTACTCCCCAGATGGCCACAATGGCCAGGCCTGGGCCAGGCTGAAACCAAGAACCAGGAGCTTCATCCAGGTCTCCCACATGGGTGACAGGGACCCAAGTATTTGGGCCATCTTCTGCTGCTTTTCCCAGGCCTTTAGCAGGGAGCTGGATGGGAAGTGGAACAGCCAAGACATGCACTGGCGCCCACATGGATGTCGGCATCACAGGCAGCAGCATTACATGCTGTGGCACAACACCAGCCCTCTTTATGCCGGGGTTCAGCATTTGTGGAATCTGCTTGATCAGAGTCTCAGAGACCAAAAAGGCATCTCTCCCTCCCTTCCTCCCTCCCTCCCTCCCTCCCTCCCTCAAATAACAATTTCTAAAAAATAATCCAGTGCAGGGCCGGCGCTGTGCCGCAGAGGGTTAAAGCCCCAGCCTGCAGCACTGGCGTCCCATATGGGCACAGGTTTGAGTCCTGGCTGCTCCACCTCTGATGAAGCTCCTTTTGCCTGCCCACCCTCCACCTTGATATTTGCGAGTTCCTCCACCTACCCTGCCTGTTGACTACAAATCCCCCGTTGTCTCTGCCGTATTCGGAATTCAATCTCTCTGCCCTGCTGCAATCATCTTGAATAAAAATGTCCTTGCTATTTTAAACAAGCGTCCCTGACACCTCATCTGACTTTAAATGTGTGGTGCTTGGAATTCTCTCTGAACCAGTTGTAATATCTTACTGAGTCAATTTCTATGTTGCCTCCATACTTCCAAATCACACTACCCTCCAAGGATACATTGTCGGGGTGGGACTTTGGCCAAGTAGTTCAGATGTCCTGCTAAAACGCTGAAGTCCTACATGAGTG